TTTCGCTTCCGATTCCACCGGCGCATCTGCCTTTACATCTATTGCCGCATCTGCATCTGCGTCCCCTCTCACCCTCACCCTCTCCCTCTCCGCCTCCGCATCTAAACCAATAGACATCGCGAGTAATAATAACCCTAACCCAAAGATTCGCAACTCCAATTCCGCCTCCGCCTCGCCGCCTTCAGGCCACCCCAACCCGACCGAACCGGACTGGCTTCAAGTTAACGTCGACGGTGATCTCGACCTCGAAATGACCACAGGTCCTGCGCTCGACTCGGCCGTGAGCCGTAGTCGCCAGGACTCCTTCGTCAGCGCTGGACCCAAGCCCATCTCCATGATCAACCCGAATCGCGAACAGGCTAATCGCGGGAGACGGGAGAGCTTGGCCGGCAGTTTAATGAACGGTATGAGCTGGGGCGGAGTCTCAGTCGGGAGCTTCATTAGAGATGAGTAAGTCGTACCGATTATTCTTTTTTTTATTTTAAATTCTCCTTTGCTCGTTATCAATTTCCTTGTCCTCATGTTCCCATATACCCCCCTCTCTGTTACTCATCGAGGTTATGCTTCTTGTTACGCAGCGCTTCCGTTTTACCCGACCTGCTTTCTTATATATTTATGAGACGTTTCTGTTTCTGTTTCTGTCCCTGCATGTGAAAATCCTCCGATGGCAAGTGGCTAACTATCATGTCTCGCAACGAATAGCCTCGTAATGACAGGCACGTCGCCGTTTACCGGTGCTCATCAATCGCCCTCATTCCACTCTAATTCATACATCCCCAAGATGGAGGCCGAGTATCTGCGCAACTTCATATGTTGCGACTTGAAGTTGGACACGATGCACGATCTGCTTCGCCACTATGAGACGGTCCACACGGGCCAGAATGCCCAGCCGAACCGGAATGGGTCCGGTATTACGATGCCCCATAGGCTTTCAGTCACCAGCCGACCGTCTATATCGATGGGAGCTGGACGACAGGATTCGCAAGGCTTTCAACATCAGTCGCAGATGGGATCGAGTCAAAGGTTCGGAAATATAGGAAGCAGTAACCTCAGCCCCGGAATGGGTTTCGGTGGAATCCAGATGGGAAGACAGTCTTCGGCCTTAGATTCCAACGCCCAAAAGCGAACACAGCAGCTGAGCCGAATGCAATCTAACGACGAGATGGATGCTGTTGGCGACATGGAAATGGACGACACTGTTGGCATGATGGAAATGGACGATAACCAACGAACTATCCAACAGACCCGACAAATGTTCGGGCAGCAACAGAGGCCTCAACTACAATTGACCACCCCGGGGCTACAACACCAAGCTCTCCGAACGTCGCAGCCGTCCACACCCGGTGCTGGTAACTTTGGCTTCCAGAACAATCCTACAGTCTCGTCAGTCAACACGCCTACCTTGACAACGCAGCAAGCCGCATTAGGGCAACAAATGGGTGGAAACAAGGATGGGATGGGGGATATGGACTTCTCTTCGCTCAATAATCTAAACCTCAACAACATTGGAGATTTCAACAGTTCTAATCTCTCCGAATTTTTCATTGACGACCCGGCAAAGAGGCTCTACAGCCCGAACGGTGGACCGGCAAGCCAGAGAGCGTTACAACAGCAGATGGCCCAATTCGGACTTGATGCAAGTCAGTTTGGAAACATCACGGATCCCAACCATTTGGCAGCGCTACAACGTGCGATCGCGAACCCTGGTTCCTTGGTAATACCGCCCGAGGAAGACAAACCTTTCAAGTGTCCAGTTATCGGATGCGAGAAAGCTTATAAGAACCAGAACGGCTTGAAGTAGGTTAAGCTTTTGTTCCATTTTTCCGCCTGAGACTTTGTCTCCTCCCCTCTTCTCCCCTCTCTCCCCATTTTGAATTTTCCGGCCCTTATCTTAACATGTCGCTAAATTGATTATGCAGGTACCACAAGCAACATGGTCATCAAAATCAACAGCTCCACGAGAACGGAGATGGTTCTTTCTCCATTGTAAATCCCGAAACATCTGCGCCTTACCCGGGCGAGACGGGCATGGAGAAAGAGAAGCCACACAAGTGCGAATACTGTCACAAGCGATATAAGAACTTGAACGGTCTTAAATACGTACGTCATGTCATCTCGGCTTTGCTATTTTGCTATTTTACTATTTTACTATTTTATCCGTACGTTATTATATCTACAGAGACTAACAACTAAACAGCACAAGCAACATTCGTCTGCCTGCGAGATCCAAGCTCAAGCGGCTAACATCCGAGCCAACCTTGCAGCCAACAACCATATGTCCTTTAACATGGCCAATATCAGCCACGGACTTCCCGGAATAGGTGAAGAGATGCAGCTGTAGGGTAGATAGGGTCATCTGTTCTCTCCGCCGCCTGCTAACAGCCACGGCGCTTGCTACTAATTTCTCGAGTTGCGACCCGGCGTTGCTGGCCTTCATTCAACCGGAGGTCTCTGGTCCCGCATTGATATTTCGGCATAGATATGTTCATATAGACTGGATACCCCTTACATACCGTGGCAACTGTACATACCGCCATAATTTCTCTCGGTTCGGAAAAGTTTGTTCTTTACGTCATCTTGGCGGCGTTCCTTGCTTCTTGCATAAGGCGTCCAGTCTGAGATATACCCTCGATAGACTTCTATGCAGAACTCGTCGTCTTTTTTTTTCTCCTCCTGTTTACAAAGAGCCGACAGCGTCTGTTCGGTCACCGTTACATATCCTCATAACATCATGATTTCAACCTCCCGCTTCCCCGTCTTTCTTAATCACGACAATTTGCCTTCTACGACTGGATCGAACATGGAAGAATTACGAAGCCGATAGGGAGATTACGAATTAAGGGAATAAATCACAGAGACGATTGACGTGCTCAGAGAGATGAGATACGGCCGGTGAAACAGCAGCCTAATAGCGAGATTACTATACTCGAGCGATCTAGACTCGCTGTTGCTGTTCTTGGTTTTTTTTTCTTGTTACATTTTGTTTTTTCGCAACAAAAAGGGGATACACTCGCTTACAGAGAATGTTGTGCCTCACGGCCGATGGAAAAAGCTACCTTTTCCGTCCTCTACGTCTTTGTTTTCGGAACGATCTGGGGGGGTAGCCAGGCGTTCCAGCGGTTTTTTTTTCAGCTTTCGATTTCGGTTCACACAAAAGAAGATAAAACTTAAAAGGAAGACCAGAGGGAAAATAAAAAGGCGGCAGAAAAAGTACCTATAATGTACGTCCCCTAGGACGTAGAAAAGGAAAGGAAAGGGAACTTGTTTATAGATGAGGAGCAGCTGGGTATACCCAGCTGCTCCTTTCCTGTGTGTAACTAATGAATTCGCGGTGTTTTTAATGGTTCTACTCTACAGCTGTGTGCTTTTTCATACTATGTTTATGATATTAGATTTGGCTACTATGGTTAAGCTATGTTAGTTATACTAGGAAGAATGAGTACCTAGCTAGGCTCGTGATAGGGGGACTATCAGATGTTCTCACTTGTCGGGTATCATTGCCTTTGTCTCCGCTCCAATAGATATTCTTGGCCGGTTTGGTAGGGCTTACATGTTCTACGTCCGATACACATAACCTAGCAAGCCTCCGTCTTACTGGGCTTTCTGTCGTCAGTCGGCTACGCCACGTGAATGATAATGTACGTCAGCTTACCGGATCTCAACTTGAACACGAGGTGAAGCAGAGGTTTCAATACGTAGGTATATACAAATCATTGTATTACATATATCATACCACCTCGTTCTACAAACTCCACTAAGAGAGAAAGAGTCGAGGTTGGGTTGAACTCGTAAAGTAGCCCTTGAGAAATTTATTTCCTACGAGGTAGGCTTATGTCTGTCTGTCTACCATAATCGAGACTCATCATAAAAGACTCTACACTATGTACATAAGCCTCAAATGACCGATCTCTCGTGATCTACAATATCACCTCAGACGCCACCGAGTCTCTGCTCAGCACTCTATCTACCGGAAGCAAGAGATTCCCATTCCCAGCCCCCCTGACCCTTTATCCACTACACTACACCCCAGACCCGATCAACCTCCTTATATACGTAACTTCTCCCACACAATGCATACATCTCCAGATCTTCAAGTCCATAACATACTATAATACCCTTAATCTAAAAACTCGACCCAACTAGACACCCATCCATCCATCCATCCGTCCATCCATCTAGACCGCGTACGTCAACTTAAGCAGACCCAAGCTAGCCAGGCCCACCTCAACCGAGGGCACGCAACACAAACCCACAAACCCACAACCTCTACTTAGCCCAGCCAGCCCGTCCGCCCACTCCCACTCCTTCTTCCCCAACAAGTTAGCATCGCCGAGCCTCCTCCTCCTCCTCCCCTTCCTCCTCCATCTCCCTCCCCCTCCCCTCTCGACTACCATGTATGTACACTTACCACCCTAAGTCTGTGTACATACCCGAGCTACCTCCTAGCGCAGTTCCAGAAATACCCTCACTCACCTTAGTTACTCACCTACTCACTAACTAGGTAACTAACTAACTAACTTAGTAACTAACTACTATAGCCCGCCGTCTTAGCCCAGGTATATACATATTAACTCGCGCAAGTACCTAACCCACCGCGCTCAGCTGACTTAAATACGACGCTAACATGCCCATGCCCTTCTTCTCAGGGTTTCTAGCCTCGATGCCGACACCGACGGAGGCTAATGCAGGGTCTTGAGTCGCGTAGTTCATGCATGCATGTACAATACATACCTACTAATGTATGTATGTAACGTAGGCTACGCCGGGCTCCGTAATAAGTACCTAATAACCACCTAGGTTAGGTACCTAAACCATGGTGACCTCGCCTAGGTATTGTATGCAAGCCTAGCCGTCTGTCATCTCTCATCTCATCTCTAGGTTAGCGCCTTCGCCCTTGTGATTATCACATGCACACCATCGCAAGGCACATCGACGTACACTACATACATAAACGTACGTAAGACAAATATATATGCGAATTGCAAAGTGGACCTTGAGGCTTGAGCAGCAGCAGTAGTAGTATTAAACCATTGCCTATGTAGGTAGAATAAGCTACACGCAGGCGTATACGCACAAATAAGCCCCCCTTTCTTTAACAACCTAGTTTAGCATATCCCAGCCCGATGCATCTTGCCTTGATTCCCTTCTGTGATGACCTGTTGTTGACTGACTACCTTACTCGACCTAACCTACCCCCTACCCCCGTCCCCAGAACGCCAAACGATGCTGATTTAAAAATCCAAGTCCGACAACCTCTCCGCGGTTGACGTTCGTTTATTTGTATCGACCCCGTGTTTAGAAAAGAACAGACGTGCAAAACCCAGAATTCATATCCATTGCTTCGTGCCGGGTGCACGCCAGGTGCACCTCGGATATCCATAAAATGCAATCCCCCTTTCCCTTGCGAGGTAAGCCGAAAATGCGGATTAAAAAAAAGCATTATTCAATGTCTGGATTCGCATAGTCAAGTCCGTCCAAAGTGAATCCTTCGCCGTAGTATCCTGAAGAGTCACGCCATATCCATGCCTTCCGAGTCATCCACGTCCGAAGGCAGGGCCTGCGAGTGGACGCTACTGATGCTGTCTTTCCGCGAGACGCCAGAAGTGTCGAACCGGCCGCGGCAGTTATCCACGTACTCGAGTTCTTCGCCCGCGATGACTCGACCCTCCATATCGATTTCCTGGGACAGCTCAACGAGAGCTGATCGTGGCAGACGTAGGAACCCCTGAGTCCGCACTATGCGGCCCCAATGCGTCAAGCAGAATGACGCGGCCCGTTTGCGCAGCCATTCCTCGCTCGCGAGTCCTGCGCAATACCAAATGATACATGCGTGCTCTACATCGAGTTCTTTTGATAATCGATTCACGCAGAGGAGGCGTAGATGAGGAATATTGTAGATATTTGACATTACCAATAGGCCGGCAACGTCTGAAAGATCGGTTGCGCCGTCATCAGAGTGGATGCTATCCGTATAGAGGTAGTATAGGAAAGCCTTGACGACTGTGTAAGGCTCTGGAATGTGCATCTTTTTAGTGTGGAATTCTGCCATTTGCGCGTTGTACAAACGGGCAAAATGAGGCCATCGAGCTTGGAGGATTAGCTTGTGTACATGGATAGGAGCAGAAGTAGGGGCGTCTGGTGTGAGCCAATTCTGATCCATCGGGGACTCTCCTGCACGGATGAGACTAGAACCCATCATATCGTCATCGTCGTAGTCGTCACCGGCGAGAGCGGTGATGATAAAGTCTGTTCCACTTCCAGCCTCGGGCGGTTGGTTAAAGAGTTTTGCAAGATCGTGACCAAGCCCTTTCGATGGCTGGTCTTGAACCCTGGTGTGCGCGGTTGGTCTAGAATACTCCGCTCGAGACTCGGAAACTGCATTATTTCCTAGAAATCCGTAGCGTCGCAGGTCAATCTCCATAATATCACTTAGATACTCCTCAAAGCCACCCGGACCAACATCATTGATAGCGTCAGTAGGGCATCCAAGTAGCCAGGCCTTAGTACCATCTTCATTCATCGTGCAATAATGCCATTGATAGCCCGGCTTAAAAATCTCACGGCCATCAGCCAGTTTCTGCCATCGTAGAGTATTTAAATCCAAAGCTGAAAGGGAACACTCCTTCGGGGTGATGGTTGCGACGGGGGTGACAAAGTCCAGAAGACTTCCGGAAGAATAAATATGGAAATGAATGCCAGAACCTTGCGATGGAACATTGCCCCCGGAAACGAATCTTAGGACAGAGATGGCCCCGGGCGCCATTGGAACTTGCTTCTTCAAGTGGAATGAGGGAGTGCTGACTTGGGCTGCCCGGATGTTGGCTGCAAAGCCTGAGGCCGAAAGGGGCGGCGCCGAGCCTAGCGAATAAGGGGTCCGCGGTGAATCGCTTGAGCGGCTAGCTATAGTGTGCCTGTCGACGGAACCCCCAATCTGAGGCGGAGACTCAAAATCCGGGCTACCCTTCAAGTCTAGCCAGCACAGGTCGCCTATCTTGTCCATGTCTCTACTTAATCCGCCGAACACCCAAATCCGATCATTCCTACGAAGAGTTAGCCTTTAAAGGAGAGATAGGAAGTGTATAACATACCATACGTAGGCAGAGTGATCGAATCTAGGAACGAAGCGCCATGACCTCGACCAAGTATAAGTCTTCAAGTCGAGGTAGCAAATATCTTCTGAGACATAGCTCTCATGACCTGTGATGCCACCAATGATGAACAACTTGTCCTCATGTAGGACAGCCGCATGTCTGGCTCGGCCCTTGGGGACGGGACCAGACACTTGAGGCTGGGTCCAGTGGGCACTCTTCAGATCAAATATTATCAAATCGGAAAGATATGTCCTGTGCTCATTCTCGCCACCGAAAACAAGAAGCTTGTCACCCTGATACAAGGTCGCAGTGTGTCCTACCGGTGCATGTGAGTCGAGGGTATACACCGTAAGACATGATAGTCCAACTTACCCATTCTTACACCAGGGATATCTCCATAGTTATCAACCAAGCTCCATTGATGGCTTACGAGGTCTAGCTTCAGTACGTGGTTGTAGACCTCATCCGTGTACTGGTCGAAACCGCCGAATGCATATATTTGATTGTTACCACAATATGTAACCGAGGCGTTCACCAAGCAGGCGGGTCGTTGGCCGAGGGTTCGTGTCACCTTAGGCCGGTAATTATCCATTATAGCCCTACTCTTCATAGGCGAATTTGTCATGACAAATGTGTTGTTAGAGGACACGGCAGACATGGCGGAGGCGGATACGGGGGTCGGCGCATTCGAAGTCGCTGGTGTGACAGACGGTAAAGGGAGAGCCGGATGATGATGATGATGATGATGTGTTGAGCTGACGGGTCCACCAAAAAGGGAGTGAGCAATTGCGGATGGAGTCGAGGGATGGGCCATAATTTGGGCTACTATAAGGCAGCGGAATCACAAGTTGCAAGGCTGCGGATAGAGAATGAAAAATCGATCGCAAGGCTACGTCGACATTTCTAGTCCCTTTGTTCGCAAAGGGTTTGCGATGGGGGACAAGAGCGAGTGACTGGTTGATTAGATTCAATGAATATTATAATACCGATGTGGACCTTAGACCTTGGAATATCGGTGATGAAGGGCTGGTCGTCGTGTTGTATCAGCCAATATTTGATCAAGTTGGGTGCAGTACGGATTAGTGTATTTGCCAATGGCAGGGGTTGTTTCTTTCGCTATCTCCGGTTGTACAAGGGTTTGCCAGAAAGATTTATGAAAGTGGGGGATGCTTATGTAAATACACATGAAAGCGGTGTTTCACTTGTAGCCAAACCCCCCGTTTGACAGTATTGAATGACGCACAAGCCAGCAAAGAAAATATACATCGATACATCTGAAAATGGCTTGGGTAGGTGCACAGATGTCCAAACTAAATTCGGCGTAGTTAGTGCAATGGTAGAATGGGTCATGGCGGTTGCCCTGCGCAACCTAAAACCCCTCCGATCCACTTCTAGTAAACATTTAAAGTCACCAGGTGCACGACGAATTTAACATTCGAATCTTCCTTCATTACAACCCTTCAACTCTACACATCCGCACATCCTCATATTCTCCTCTACTACGCTGCCGTCTAAGGCCAAAATATTACCAAAGCCTCTCGCACAATACTTTCAAGTCCATTAGATCTCATCGCTGCTACTATCCCTTGAGGACGTACAGTCATTTGATCGCCCCGCCGACTTTAAAGCTGTTCTACGCGAAGGCATTCTTCGATTATCGAACACAACGTCTGATACTAACCAATAACCAATCCAGGAACCATTAACTTGAGTCTCTTGGAGCTCGTTCGATCTGTCGGAGCTCTCACTTACTCATATACTCATATAATACTCCCCCGAGACATTCGGTTGCTCTTCGTCGGAGTTAACAGTTTCTCGTTTCGATACACAATAATCGTCATACTCTAGACAATTAGACACTATGGCATCTGTTGCAGTATCTACTCCCTTAAAGTCCCACAAGGGACTTTTCTCCTCTCGTACCGCTGGCGGACGGATGCCCCTCACACCATCCCCCCGTCCACGTACTACAACTGCCAACGTTCCAGTCAATGTGAACTCGTCTCCTTTCACACCCGACAGGAAGTCTTCTAGTCGTGATACATCCCGCCCAGCCAGCAAGTCGGTGTACGGAGGAAACCTATCAGCGCACCTTGCCAAGTCAACCTCGAGATCGTCTCACCGTAATTCACCCAAGTCTAACCTTGCCCGCGGTGTTTCCACCCCCCGCAAGGCTCTCGAGCTTGGTGTATCCGACTTCACTCTTGTTGGCACAGGACAAACCAAGACATCTTCTAGCCCAAAGCCCAAGAAGACGGCAGCGCCTTCAAGATCAAAGTCCAACAAGACCACCATTTCTTACACTGGTGATCGGTTCATCCCCAACCGAAGCAACAGCTCTGCCATTGCTAATGCCGGGTCTGGAAAGCTTGATTCTCAAGAGAAGAAGAAGCAGCGATCAAGGGCCAACAGTGGTGAAGCCTCCGCTGTCCTATCTTCCGCTACCGATGATGCTATCGCCGCGCTTGAAAGCCTTAACATCGACGACGATGAAGCAGCCAGCTACTCCCGCCCGTCGCCCAACACGGTAGCTTATCAAGATTCTCTAGCAAATGCTTGCGGTGTTAACCTGAACACTCGCATTCTCCAATTCAAGCCTGCTCCCCCAGAGTCTTCCAAGCCTATCGATCTTCGTCAGCAGTACAACCGACCACTTAAGTCGGCTAATGCTAGTTCCGCCCAGTTCCGACGCCGCATTGCGACCGCCCCCGAGCGAGTCCTAGATGCTCCAGGGTTGATTGACGACTACTACTTGAACCTGCTCGATTGGAGCTCGGGTAACCAAGTTGCTATCGGCCTGGAGCGCAGTGTCTACGTCTGGTCGGCTGACGAAGGCTCAGTGAGCTGCTTGTTGGAGACTAGCCCTGACACATATGTCAGCAGCGTTAAGTGGTCCGGTGATGGCGCTTATGTCGGCGTTGGTCTTGGAACCGGTGAGGTCCAGATCTGGGACGTTGCTGAGGGTATGAAGGTGCGCAGCATGTTCGGCCATGACACTCGCGTTGGTGTGATGGGCTGGAACAAGCACCTTCTCTCCACTGGTGCCCGAAGTGGACTCGTGTATAACCACGATGTTCGTATCGCCGAACACAAGGTGGCTGAACTTGTTTCTCACACTTCCGAAGTCTGCGGTCTCGAATGGCGATCTGACGGAGCCCAGCTTGCAACCGGAGGCAATGATAACCTGGTCTCAATCTGGGATGCTCGATCGCTAGCTGTCCCCAAGTTCACCAAGACGAACCACAAGGCGGCAGTCAAGGCCTTGGCCTGGTGCCCATGGAACATGAACCTCCTCGCGACTGGTGGTGGCTCTTACGACCGCCACATCCACTTCTGGAACACTACTTCTGGCGCCAGAGTGAACAGTATCGACACTGGTTCTCAAGTTACCAGCCTCCGATGGAGCACTAGCTATCGTGAGATTGTCAGCTCGAGCGGATTCCCTGACAACTCTCTCAGCATCTGGAGCTACCCTACTCTCGTTCGTAACGTCGAGATCCCGGCTCACGAGAGCCGAGTTCTCCACAGCTGCCTCAGTCCCGATGGACAGATGCTTGCTACCGCAGGTAAGAGATAATCCATAAGTGCAAAATTTTGAATCTCAAGAATTTCAGCTAACAATGCCTTTCAATAGCTGCCGATGAGAGCTTGAAGTTCTGGAAGGTGTTTGAGAAGAAGGCCGGTGCTACCGCAGGTGTTGGTGCCAGTGGCTCTTCCAGCAAGGCTCAGATGGCCAAGCAGATGACCATCCGATAAAGCACCATGCAGATCTCGTGAATGTCAAGAGCATCATCAATGCTCAACGAAACAGTAGGTACAATTTCGCTCTGGCATCTCTGGGTACTGCATTTGGTGTCCATTTAGCATGGCGTTGGGGTATCCTCACGATATAGACCTAGAGGGTTTTTAATCAGGATACGACTTGGTCATGAGCTACGAAATGATAATGCGCGCTACTACGAGAGGCCGCAAGGATGGAGTTAAACTTGATTGTATTATAATTACGGAGTTTGGGGATTCAATTACGCATAATAAGGCAGGAATAAGGGTAGCTAGATAGTCGACATATCAACATGATATGAGATTGACTGGTATTCGCTTATCTGCCGTAGCTGATGCGCGGCATATGTAATGAAGTCATTTTAATATTTCAATTAATCGTTGTTCCGGTGTTCTTGTCTTGTACATGTACATGTTTAGGTGCATGCTCCTATGTAGTGTAATTGAATGCTACGAATTTGTTCCAATTAAACAGCACGTAATTTGTTGGCAGTCGTCATTACCTCATTTTATTTCATTCGACATGCCGCGGGCCCGCAGTACCTGTGGTAGAAGGTACGTACCTGGTTGCTTAAGCGGCGTTAGCGGCGCAGTGACTTAGGTACTACCTATCTTATCTGGGCTGCTTAGGGCGATTAAGTAAGCGCGTAAGCGGCACTTTAACAAACCAGGCACTTTCAAGCCAACCTTCACGAGAACATCACCAACCAGGGACACTCCATCGTCGGCTAAATCCGCTGCGCCAGTGCACGACGACATAAAACTGCGTGCCAGTTGATAAGTTAATACCAGAGAAGCTAGGGACTAAACTTTGAGCCAGATTTGAGAAGGCGCACGAGGAGGAAGCTTGGGCGAAACAAAAACCTTGGTTTCGTCTTCCGTACTTGGCCAACCGCTTTGACTTGCAAGCCGCGTCCAAAACTCTCCCATCTTCGCAACTCTGCGCTCTTGCAACCTTGCAACCTTGCACAACATTGCATTCCTATTTATTGTGACCGTACCTACATTATTTACCAGGTATCCCACCTGTTCGTCAGACAGGATTTTACGTAAACCAACAACTACACAACCCTGTTGCCGAATACCGTACCCAACCTTTTTTTTTTGATCGACTCAAATAGTCGGTCAGCCCGCGCGGTCCATTCGTCACCATGTCCAACTCGCAGGTCGGCAATGTTTACCAGCAGATCATCAACGATGTCCTCGAAGCTTCGCGAGTCGATTTCGAGGAAGGCGGCGTGGACGAGGGTGTTTTGGATGAACTGAAAAGGGTGAGTAATTGGCATTTTCCTTGTTTTTCTTTTTTCTTCTCTTCCCTCTACCGCTTCTCCCTTGAGTCGGATCGGCGATCAGCAATTATTAGTGCATTGTTATTATTTCATTCATTTGGATGGGGATTTCTTTGAATATTGAATATTTGAGGAAAATATCTTCCGAGATTTGATGAGTTGTCGACCAGGCCATGATGAGCACTACATAGGCAACTTTGCTGTGCTGGTTATAGGCGAGGCCGAGGTTGGTGAGAACTGGCGGATTTCGTGAGGGGCGGGCAGGCACTATTTGGGCTTTTTATGCCTCTGCGCCCGCTGCAAATCTCCCAGTGACTCACGTCATTTTTCATTGGCTGGGACCCAGTCCACTCACGTGCCTCTTACTGTGCGCGTTTATCCTATCAGCTCATTCGTTATTTTCCTTACCTTCGCTACCTTCACTACACTACCCTTCGCACTCATCCCTCTCCCTTTTGAACTACCGTGCAAGGAACAATGCTTTCGTTACCATATAAACCTCTCACCGAGTAACAAAGAAAGACGGACTTCTTGGCTAATATTATCTTATCAGGGATGGCAGAAGAAGCTCTCCCAACAGCAGCTGGCTACGTTCCCCTGGGATCCGAAGCCAGACGCCCCTGCTCCTCAGCCCCCTGCTGCTGTTGTTCCTCTTACACCAGCTCCTGACCCTATTCCCCAGGTCAACGGCTCTTCATTTATCCAGGAACATGTTCCTCAGATCCAACAACCTCAAGGTCTCACCATGCCTATGGCTGGTGGTCAACCTTCAAATGGTCCTGGCGTCAAACCCGAACCTAACGTCAAGACGGAGCCCGGCCTTGACAATGGATCTATGATGACCCAGCAAAGTGGCCCCGGTGTTGTACAAGAGCGGGTATCTCAACAGCTCCAGTCCATGTATGGCGACCGCGCAGCAGCTTCTATAAACAAACTAAGAGAGCAGTCGTTTCCTCAGAACCCACAGAGGCCCGGCAACCAGCCTATGCCACCCAACTATCAGGGCCAATATCAGCAGGGTCACCCTCAACAGCAGTACCGACCTGGCATGCCCCCTAATCTGCAGCAGCAGCAGCAGCAACAGCAACAACAACAACAACAGCAGCAGCAGCAGCGCATGACCATGCCGAATGGACAGAGACCTCCACCCTCTCAGTTGGATGGCGCAGATGATGTCGAATCTCATGTTGGTGTTGTCATGCGTCGTACCTCTGCTGGTGAAAATGTGGAAATGGGACGAGTTCAGATTGATAACTTGCTCCACGCCCAGATCGCGGCCAGGGCCAAGGCTATGGAAGGTGGTGGCCTGATGCTACCTCTTAAGCGCAAAGGCAAGGATCAAGCTATCTCGCAACATAATATACCCCCGTCCGGCGGTATCTCCCAGTTTGACGGCACGGATGATGGTGTGAAAGACGAAGCATCCGATGACGCGGACGCTATCAACTCAGACCTCGACGATCCTGATGATAATATTGAAGATGATGATGAGGACGAGGATGGCGGCCAGATCATGCTCTGCATGTATGACAAAGTCCAGCGAGTCAAGAACAAGTGGTAAGTTTCCGTTATCTCAAGATGGAAATTCCATTGTAGTTGCTCACAACAAAACAGGAAGTGTGTTCTCAAGGACGGCGTCCTGAGTGTGAACGGCAAGGATTACGTATTCCACAAAGCAACCGGCGAGTATGAATGGTGATCGCGAACCGGACCTTACGCCATCATACTGGCACGATTTTGTACAAGACTTGCTTTCGTTTCTTTTTTTTATTTGGCGTGTACTTGACCAAATCCAACCGCGTTAAAATTCACCTTTCTGCATTTCGATATTACCTTCATCCCCGACAAGAAGCATCTGGGCAATGATTGCAGATAGAGGACAAAAAGTTGCCTTGCTCGATATTAATAAGGTAGAACTCCAGTGAGCTTCACTGAATGCAAGTTTGCGTAGGGGGGTATGATTCGTTAAGGGGTATTATTCGCATTGATTTTTCTATTTTTACTATGGCATCGTATCCGGTTGGTGATGCTGACGATGAAAGTTGGTCCTCGTTTGCGGGCATTTTGGCCGCCGGGATGAAGAGCGTGCAAGGGGGCGCGGAATAGACCTATCCTACTATACTACTACCGGTATGGATAGATAGTACTCCAGGACAGTTGTACTAATAGCAATAATTTTGGTAATGAAATTCTGTTTATGATATGAAGTGTGACTTGGACTTGCTGAAGTATTGTGAAAATGGGAGGGTGGCAAAAGGGGTAGAGTATGAGTCAATAAGCTATGACCAGCGCCATGCCGTCGATCGATCTGGTACTACTGGTACTACGTTAGCAGCTTGATACTATATACCTACCTACCTAGCTCCATCAAGCATCGGGTTGGCGCACAACTTGGCCTGTGACTCAGCGTCCCCAGTCGCTATATACGGGAGCATGACTCATAGTTGGGGGTCGGTAAGCAGGCATATTCTAGGCACGGGTTCAAGCTTAACGTGATGCTATGCTGCCTACTCGGGCACATGTTACTTCGCGTACAAGGGAATGGTATATTATAGAGACTAGTTAGCGAGTGAACTATACTCGGACGTATGTTAAAGTCGACTTGCATCACTGGCATGTTTCTCTCTTCATATCCTGGATATCTAATCGAATTCTACTCTACTAGTATGCCCCTCAAGAACCAAATCGTCATAGCTGTTTACCGGTAGAAATTAGGGTTGGACGGCTACCTATGTATCTGGTAGAGTTACGATAGATATATCATAACTATCGATTGAAAGAGATACTTGGTGTATAAATGACTAGGTAATTATTCGAAATCAGACCACTTTACGATAGTAGTGTATTTAGGTATAACTACAGAATATTTGAACGGCACAACTAGAAGTAAATACGCCTTTTGAAAAAAAGCCAGTAGGTAAATCCTATTAGGCCTGGCTCTATCTTGCTGGCATAATATTTGTTGCTATATATAAAAATCATTACACAGATCACACGCCGGCATACGTTCGTTTATGTAAACACTCGAGAACATCACCAGCTAGCTGTCTTCACCATTTAGATACTTGAACGCTTAATTCATATCATATAGGTTCGTAGGTCATTAAAAATATATATGTGTGCTCCTCCTCTAGGTACGTAGATAGATACGATAACTACAATTAAAAAGGTGAACAAAAAAGGGAGAAAAAAGAAGGTCGGACTAAGGGGCTCTAAAGGTAGGTAGTTAGGTACACTGAACAGGGGCGGAGAATTCAGAGAGGATATCTCGTTGCTGTTGTTTTTACTTACCACTTTGGAGTACATAGCCTTTATATAATTAGATAACAGTGCTGCAAGTAATCGGGACGGTCCCTGGCGGCCTCGGAGTCCTGGGAGTAAAAACGGGGTGGTCTAGTTGGAAGCACCGGGCTTCCTACCCCTTTGGGGACTTGCCATTTTCAGGTTTTTCGCGGAGGGGGCCTGTTCGAACCGGCGGATAACGGGCTCCAGCCGACTTTTTGCACTTTTTATCCTTTTTTTTTCCTTCTTTTCTTTCCCTTTCTTTCGGTTTACTTTTTTTTGCTTTTTCTTTTTATGTTTTTATTCATTTTCTTTTTTGTTGAGTTCTCCTGCCTGCCGTATCTATCCATTTGCGTTTTGCCGCCTCGGGTAGATACCCTCGGGTAGATACCTACATAAAAAAAAAAGTGATTTGGCCTGGATGGGAATCGAACCCATTCATTTCCTGCTCAATAGAGGTTGAGGAATAAGCCCTACTTAGAGTAGGGGGGGGACGACTCGCAACATATCGAGGCAGGAATGTGCTCTAATTACACCACCAGGCCGTTCGTTGTTAGGTATTGGACGTTCTGCTTTTTGCAATTATATGTTTGTTGCCTGTGCACACCCCACGCATCTATCATCTATCTCCCCGGCGACTGTATGCAAGTGGCAGCATGTGTATGCCTAAATGTTCCCCGGAACCTCCTGCCTGCCTACCTACCTACCTACCTACCTTAGGTACCTCCTAGGCAACGGTAAAGGGAAACGAAACTCCCCAAGCACGAGTTAAAAAGAAATGTGCTTGTTTCTCGTGGGCATCTACGCCTAATAAAATGTAACTACCCTCCAAAGGATACTCCAGGAAATCTAGGGGGCTGCTCTCAGGCTACCCTCTGCTTATATAAATAGTCGCTGTCCTCTCTTAAAACACATGAGGTGTAGGGCTTCTAGAAGGAAAGGGGCTTAAGGAGTACAAAAAGAAAGTACCTAATTTATATATTTTGCCTTACTGTTTTCCTGGGATATTACATAGCAAAGGACTGCTCTTACGACACTAACTTTGTTATTAAGTTGGAAAACTTGACGTTTTCGGCAGGGTTATCACTAAGTTTTATTGGTATGGGGTATGGATGGGAAAACAGGGCTTCAAGTCTCGGTATAATAGTGACGTGACTTAACATAGCTGTGCCTCTTATTTCGAAAGTAAGGCTGCGGATTAAATTACCGTTCCGAGCTGTCGGTGTCGGTTGGTTGTAGCGAGTCCGTGCAGCTTCCGGCATTAGGAGACTAAGTTTACTTTATAGGGAGCTGAGGGAGCTGATCCCTCCGAGTAAACCCGCCGGCGGATGTCGTTGGAAGACCGGCCCCGGAATTATGGGAATTGGTAAGGAATGTTGGTTGTGTGGTATTCGAAAGAGGATCGAAGCCCCACTACCGTACGACTAGCCTTTCCTATTAGTTGCCGTCTAATCCCCACGACGGTATTATGTACGTCGATCGTCGATCTACGCTATGAGATGCTTGCGCAGCTAGTGGCTCTAGCCTAGGTAACACGTGGGTCGTCAACCAGGTATTGACTATCTGGCTATATCTATATGTTTATACAGATATATCCGAGGTAGGTCATCATGGTAACCTAGGTCATCATCTGGTGAAGAGCTAAGTCGTATATGGAAGTTCGGCTCTTTACATGTATGGATATGCATCCTTCGTTATGCTGGCTTCGACCGGTCGACCGGCCAACGTAGCTCGACCGCTGGGTGTGACCGCGTGACCGCGTGACCCGTATAAAGGCCGTTGACCAACGCATAGGTGATATAACGTTGGCATATTGATGAATTGAGGGTCTCTTGTATTCGTATGGCGGCATTGGGTGGGACTAGTCAGCTTCTTTACCATCGCTATGGTCCACATATGTGTCATTCGCCTTGACCTGCTGTGCTGGATACTGGATTTAGCGAGTATTCCACGTGTACATACTATGTATCGGGGCATGTGGTAATTAGACCATGACGAAACCCAGGAGAGACTAAAGTATCTCGCGGTTTGATGCCGAATATATTGTTATGATTACACGACATTATTGAGTTCCGTGGTATTGGGTCGCTCCTGTATTCCAATTTTAGTTGGTACATCCGCTCTCGTCATGTCTTTGCTTTAAACTTGATGTGTATGCGCAGGGGCTTCGAACACTGGTCTCCGATTTTACTCACAATTACCGTACAATAGTGTACATACTTACATAGTACGCACCCCCTTATTCCTGATTTCATTGTGCATACTATGTAGCTTATTTGAATATGAATGTAGACTGGGGTTGGTATAATTAGCTTAGGCCGCCCATATAATTCTCAAGAAAGTGGACTACCTACCTAGGACTTATGAAACTACATACCTGGGTAAGGCAAGGGTTCGCTTGGACAGGAAAGGGGGGGGAGGGGGAGAGAACTATCTGAAGCCTTAGTGTAAGCTCGTAGAATAAAACTGGAATAAATGCCTTAGAGCTTGGCAAACGTCAATGCGACTTTCGCTCTTGATAATCTTTAGAGTCTCTAATCTTTATCCGTGTGTTAATAAGTCGATTAGGTGAATAAGCGACAGATGAGCGACAGGGTTAAAGCCACGATTTTGTTCATCTTCATAATTTACGTAATGGTGGAGTGTAGATGAGTCTATGCATGGCTTGTTGGTAATTCTGGATATGAGGTTAGGTCTGGATAAGTGGCCTGTCGCCGAAAGTTGAAACTCGTCTTCCGCGAACTGCTGTCAGTGTTGGGAGTTAGTCTGTCTGGAAAAATGGGCGGTTCTCAACACAGGTAAACAGGGTTGACGCGAGAGGTCCTCGAGCCTAGTGTACAATACCTAGTGTAATATAACATGATGCTTGACGGAATCCATCTTATAGATGTGGAGATATATAACCGCATTCTTATATATGTACATACATACATACATACTGTAGCATGGCTTGTATGGATGATGTATTGATGCGTTAGTGTTACCTACACTAGTGTTAGTGTTAGTACGGATCCGTATTGTATGTATTGTACATATCTATGCGAAATGACAAGGGCTAAAGGAGCTGGCGTAAAGTGCGGGACAAGCGGATGAAGAGAAAAATGGAGATTGGTAAAATTGGGTTGACCCGACAGACTGGTAACGAACGCTTGGGCGGTGAGACGCGAAGCTACAGGCCCGTTAAAGCTATGTATTGTATGTAAAGACAGGCATTTCGGGATTTGTCCTCGGGCGTCCGGCCCTAACTAGGAAGTAACTAGGAAGCTCGATGTAACCTCGTCCGGTAGTGACGATTATGATTTGCAAGAATCTCGGCTTTTTGCATATTTTTGCATACCAGGGTGCCCAAATTCTTCGCCCTACTTTATCGTATGTCTGGTAGACCCCGTAGCTCCCGGGGAAAAGAAGCTGAAAATCCCGGCTGACTGATTAGAATCCTTCGTCTACCTACCTAGGTATCATAAAACATTCCAATCACCTGATACCATTTCAATGCAACTGGTCTCTTCCTACCTTCCTACGCTCGTCTCAGCCTGGCGGTGTCCCCGAGATCCTTAGAATGGCGATATACATAGTAAGTTGTTTTAATTGAAGAAGCGGTCAATAACAGATTGACAATTTGTACATCACAAAACAAGGCCGACGGGGAGTTTATTGAAGCGTAGTTGGCCGTTGCATTAGCTGATTAGGTAGCTATTTAATTGACGGGAGCGCCGTAGAAGATTGGCCTCATATTTATAACCGATAATATTAGGTACTTGTATTAGCCACGCGAAGCCACAGGCTTAAGGCTCTTAATTACCTATTCAGGTAATGCGACATTTGTTACTGCGATGACTAAGGTAGAGCGCATGCCGGGGTATACCTATGTACATATGGTAAATTGATGACTGTACATACAACTATGTACATATGTATGTTATGATGTCTCGCGTAGACCGTGCGGCGTGCAAGGATCGACAATTAATAAGCTTCTAACGTTCGCCGGTGAGTCTACCTATATAAGACTATAAGTTACCAATTTAGTAATGCAACGGGTTATCGCAGCTCCAAGTCTATTTTCTGCTAGATCTACTAATCCTGCTAGTCATCAATGCAGGTACCAGTAAGATAACCGATATCAATTTTTTTGTAGTTATAATACGATAGATGACTTAGTCATTTGATATGCGGCCGGCCGTTGCAAGCCCAGCTCGGTCGCTCGGTGTCCAATGAAATGGCACCGAGACAGCTCCAACGTAGATAAATAAATGTCGTACATTCGTATTCGAAGGACCGATGATGAATTAGGAAGACCAAATATAACACGAAAAATATATATTTATCTATCTGGCCTAAGCTGATAGAGTTGCAACAGTGGGCTTTTGTGCATCGGCATCAATAGCGGTCTGCTGTTTGCGGTGTAATCCGATTCTAAAATCAACAAGTATGCATTAGGGTAACATACGAATCGTAGATTGCATCAGGGATCGGCATTGGTCTAGCCCAGTAGCGATTTCAGCTCTGAATTGTCGGGTCGGCTATGGCCTTGTCGGGTCAGTTTGATCCTCGGGCATAGAGACCGGGCCGAGAGTTCAGAAACAGGGGTGGTGCCGAGTAGATGTGCATCCAAGCTGACCAGTCGCATTTATCTTGACGTGAGGATGACCTAATTTCTTCTACCGGTACCAAGCAAAGAAGGGGGGGATATGACCTGGAACAAAGCTTTAGTGAGTACGGGGCTGTAAGACTACTGACCTGTCGGAAGCGGTTACATCGTTTCTGGGTTTCTGGGTTTACAATGTCTTCACTAAAGATTTCTAGTCCCGAGACAACTTGCCAACGCAGCTTTAAGTAGTGGGGAATGCCAAGACTTAACTTAATTGCGTTCCGTAGTGTCGGGTTCGACTCCGTTGCTATGATTGGCTTCAGTTACAAGGGCTCATCCGCGAATACCTACCTAGGTAATCAAGCCCATGTGAAGTCGCTTGGCTGAGAGTACTTATGATCTGGGTGCGGTAGTAGATGGGTGATACGCGTCGTGAGCTAGTCGGTGAACAGTGTAATATAATCCTCTGGATAAGGTCTGTAACAATTCCTAATGACCCGTTACCCATTATACTAGTATATAAATTATATCACTCATGTATTCTAGTCATACCTGTAATATTGGCTTCTTGATTTGTGGAACACCTACCTCTGGAATAAAAAAACGCAGTATTTACGCTATAATATTGGCCGAGATTATATTCATGTCGGTCACGTTCCTTGGTAGTCGTTAGGAAAAGCTAACTAAGGCCTCCGACGTCGAATTTGGTTGTAACTCGGGCAGATTTATTGCATAGTTGCCTAATTTTGGTGGTAGTCAATATGAACAAGGGCCAACGTAGTTGGTAGCACCTACAGGGAATGCGAGCAGCTTTGTTAGCCATGTAATATAGTAGGGGCTTATATATACCGACATGACCATACGATGCTTTCCTACCTAAGGTACCCAGGTAGGTAGGTATGCAAGAGGGACTGGATGAGATAGGCCAACGTAGTTGCGTCTGCAAGTGCACGGCACAACAACCACCTGTTCGGTACCCCTTTAACCCCCTAATCCCTATTGGGGGCATGTACTCCATACCTATGTAGGCAATGATCTTTACCGTCGCTACCGCCCCTATGGTTCAACGCCCCGCCATGTAAGGATATGTTTCCATTCCTGACGATACCATCAACGTTCCCTTAAGTAATAGTGCAAGATGAAGCATGTTGACCGAGAACAACCCTGCTTAGTTGTCGCTATACCCTTTAATCTCAATTATAGGTAATGCTCTCAGGATTTCAAGTTGCTAACTTAAGTAGCAACTCCGTGGTTTGAGTCGGTGATACCTAGAAACGATAAAATAAGTGTAAAGGTATCGTTGGTGATTATATAACTACATAAGAGCGTACTGAATAGTTCGAATGTTAGTAGTCTTACGTGTGCTTTATTAGCGTTGCTACGGGAGAAAATTATGGTGTATGGTGTCCTGGGAGGAGAGGGTTGGTCGCGGGCCAATGATCACAAATTTACCTGAGAGGAGCGCTGCGATACGTGCCTTCTGTCCAGTTATTGGGGAAGTACAAGGAATACCTTGCGGAAAGCGGATGCCAGGGTCGTTGGTTATCCTAAAGGGGACCGCAAGTGACCAGTCATTGGTGGGAGTGCTTGGAAGCGAGAAAGTACTGTGACTTAGATCCGTACGAAGCCGTAACTAAGACAGTCTCGTGGTCTGACTTCGAGGTGGCTTGTTGCAAGTCGCAATCGCAAAGTCATGCATGTTCACGGGAATCCACTTAAGGAGGTCTGAAGTCCTTGTTGGTGTCGCCTTTCCAGGTTGTACTTTGTGGCGACCTTACAATGGCGCATTAAGGGGAGCCTTCTTGAGGGCAATTCGGCTTGGACGCACAGAATCCGCCCCTTGACGTAGCGGCTTCCCATGTCTTGAAGCAATTGTATTGTTTGGTTGTTTGGCCTAGGTATATGTTCTAGCAAGGCATCTTAATAGACGAACTTAAGCTGCCTAGCCGTGGAACCTGCTGTCTCTTCTCGAGGCACAATTTTATGGGCGAAAGCTAGAAGCTACCAGCTACCAGCAGCAACTAGCAGCAACGGGGCTGCCGACGATACATGTTGCTACACATGTAATGGCTCTCACTTACTTCCATCTGTAGTACGCACACATGTCCTTGGGCCTTCAGATAGTCTAGGAGCATGTATAATGGAAGCCATTGAGGATGTGACAAGTCGGGGAGGAAGCTATACTAGGTGTGTTAGTTACTGCTGCATCTCACAAGCTCTACCATAAGAACCATAAGATCGATCTTGTACTAGTACCTTACCTTTGAGCATTGTGTCACCAGCACACCATCTAGGAGACACGATCCTCTGCCTCGGGACGGGGGAGCGCTATATCGGTGGGGCTAGGCCTTAGCGGACTGGGTCCTCCCGAAGCCTTACAGGAGCCACTTGACCCGTAACCAAGTGGACGGATCGAAGAAACACGGCAACGGGGCGTGTCATTACGTAGATATGTATGTTGGTAGTACCGTTCCCGAGACCGCTTGCTACGAGCTGAGACGGTTCGAGTCGAGATGTTCTGCCAAGAAATTGTACCCGGCGCATCTTTAGTCTTTAGATACCTTGTCCACCTCACACGAATGTTGTTTACATATTACATATTACTTAAGTCGACATCGACGGTGGTGATAGCGGTGGTGAAATCCGGGTTACGTTCTTTAGGTATGTACACGTAGTTGAAGAAGTTCAGGTGCCCTCTTATGGGACGGTCCGGGTACTTGGGAGTTCGTAGGCGTAGGCGAGAGAAGGAATAATTGGAGACAGGGGCTGCACCTGTAATTGTATACAGTACAGCGCAAGTTTAGCGCTGTTTCCTTGGCTGCTTCGAGACCCACCTATAACTTCTCCGAGATGCATGAGCCGTACCTGTGAAGTATCGCTGTATACTGTACAATACATTTCCAATCATCCATCGCATCCATCGCTAGCCGGTGTGGAATAATAAATACATACATCTAAACCAGTGAGCATCGTGGCTTTCAGTGATGCACACCCTTAGGTACATGCATATTTAAATGCATAGGTAGATATGTATTATAACTTTAGAAGTCGATGTTCCAACATCCATTTTAGTCTTCTCTCTTCCCCCTTTCCACCTATACATATGTATATGACCTATGACCTATGACCTATGACATATGGCCTAGTTATGGCCTATGACTTGTAGCTTTTTACACTTTTATTTTTATTTTTATTTCTTCGTCCCTTGTCGATGGGATATCTCTCCATCTCGACGTTAAAAAAGTCTCGTTTGTCTAACTACCACCTTTTTCTTATCCTTGCCCTTCTCTCTTATTCATTCATCTTCTCCCCACCGTTGCGTCGTCTTGCGTCTTGCGTGTCCGAGGAATTACGGATCTGCATTACAGTTGAGGTTCGGTACTTAGGCTATACTAGATGGTACTTAAGCTAGGGTTGGCACTAAAATAATTTTATGTTGTACCTCGTTCGATTGAAACTCGGGTCGAAATACTTATCCTAGTCCCCACTAACTACATAACTACATAACTAACCGCTAAACCGCTAACCAACCGCTAACTGCCATCGTCACATATCATCTTCCAATCCGCGATTTCTTCAGCACGCGTACCTTCCTTGTCCCTCGTTGTCTTATTTTATCCTGTATTATTTTTTCTCGATATCACTCTCTATATCTTCTCTTGATCTCCTCCGCTCCTTCAACACTCTCCCAAGTTTGTCCCTTTTACCGAAATCTGCATCTTGAGCTAAGAGCCGCTACTTTGACCTATCCGCCTTTTCTTGAAGCTATCCGTAGCACTTAGCGCATCGCCGACTCGAGCTTGTCGCCCTAGTCGCAACTCTCTTTCATACCTGCGCCGCGCTTCTACGACGGGTACCTTTCGCGTGCGACCTTTTGCGCGTCTTTTTTCTGCCCTGACCGGGCTACACCGTGTCCGCCATGGCTCACAATGGCAACGGCTCTATTTACCCCCAGAATGGGTATGTTGTTGGTCAAGCTCTAAGTGGTCTACCCCCCCATGCTCTAAGCTATACTAATATGGCTTTTTATAACCATTTAGCGGGCCAGTCTTACCTTCTTCCGCCTCGAATCGAATCGAAAATAGAAAGCCGGAGGAATGGTGGTACACGGAAAATGGACGCTCTTACGACACCTTTCGGAGGGGGAAGTATATGTTCCCAATGGATGAGGTATGAAGCCGACAGAATGGGTTATTGTCGGAATTTCGACTAAAGTACTTTTTTTAGGACGAAATGGACAGGATGGATATATTCCATAAGTTCTTTCTAGTGGCGCGACAGGATAGCTCTAACTACGGAGGTCTATGTCAGCGGCCGCTACCCGCCTATCCTCGAATCTTAGATCTTGGATGTGGTACCGGTATCTGGGTGATTGATATGGCCGAGTGAGTCTCCTCCATGGTTGCAACAAAATACTAACTTTGCTCCTGGCTAACCTACCGGCCTGTTCATAGTCGCCATCAAGGACGAGCCAACATTCTCGGTTGGGACCTCTCTTTAATACAACCTCTTAGGTATATGCTACTTGCCTTTGTAATGGTTCTTTTCGCTGATTTGGCATAGGATTCCACCGGGTGTCGAGTTTCAGCGGCGTGATATCGAGGATCCCTGGACTGGCATCGAAGAGAATTCCTTCGATCTCATTCATATGAAAATGCTTGCTGGGGGTATAGCAAATTGGACGGCTATATACGACCGTGCATTCAGGTACGGGCCATGGTTGTGATCTAACCAGCGAACACTTGTAGTTGCTAATCGCTGATTGTGACGGACAGATACCTCAAACCTGGTACTGGACTCTTCGAACATGTGGAGATTGATCTTACACCCAAGTCCGCAGATGGCGAATTACCCGAGGACTCTCAGCTTCGAATATGGGCGCACGAGCTGACCGAGGCTATGGAGAGGGCTGGGCGACCTATAACAGCGAACCCCCACACTGTAGGGATGTTACAGCGTCTCGGCTACGTTGACGTCGAGCAAACAACCAAGCGAATCCCGTTCAATTCTTGGCCTGAAGATGGACAAGAAAAGGAGATGGGTAGGTGGTTCAATCTCGGCATTACGAAAGGGCTGCATGCCATAACAATAGCTCCTTTAACTAGGATGAACGGTTACGACCCGGAACATGTTGAGAACCTAATTTCAAAAGTGCGGAAAGAAATGTGCTCCCGCAGGTTGAGAACTTATTGCACCATGTAAGTTTCAATGCCGCTACCCGTTTTTGATGAAACTGATCCAGGGAGTAGGTATATCTGGACAGCACGAAGGCCATCTATACCCGGCCAACGAGCATGATCGCTCCGGCTGTCTGCAACGCAGCCATTGGACCGGTATCTATCTACACGCCACTGGAACCAAGCTTCTGCTCGGTGATCTCTTGGGCCATAGCCTACCCTAGACATCTACGGCGCTTGCATAAAAGACATATCACTTACTTCCTTCCTATGCAGGCTCTCCCGCCTTTTCAAGTCGATTTAGGAACTACTAGAAGGCAGGCTCTAGGACCTTGTCCAACTCTTTACCGCCCCCATATCTTAAGCGTCAACCCCCGGCGAGGTTGGACTGCGCCATTAGTCAGCTATCCCATGTCTACGGGCGAATACAAGAGTTGTGTTAAGCAATGCCTTCAGCCATGCAAGCCGGTCTTATTCTAAGACCGTTGCGATAGTTGTTCTATAGGACTTGTGGGCCATTTCGTTTTCACCGTAGCCCATTTGGCATATCCCTGCATAAGGAGCGAGGCCCGCATGCCTTTCTCAACGGGCTCACACACACTTTTTTCTCCGGTATTGGCTAGATCCGGAGGTAATGCGTCTGCACGTGCATACGCAGGACCAGCGCAGGTTATATTGGATGTACACTACTTTGCTCACGGTGCATTTCCCCGTTCTCGACTCGCGAATGACATGGACATTTTACACTTTGGCCTTGTCGACATCGCCAGTTAATGTTTTCTCATCTGGAACCGAAGCGGTCCCGGTTAGGACGTCAGACGTCACGCGCTCCCGGGGAATCATTCCAATTTAGGTGTATTGGTTGGTTGTTTTATGTTTGGCGCAGGAGAAGTTGAATCTTGAGCCGGGGGAAAAGGTACCTTCATTGGCGGTGCGGGCTTGGCACCTAAGCAATATAAGGGCGTATTGGGCAGTAAGAGTTACATTGCTTTCCTCCGTCTTAGACGAAACGGCGCTCCGGGTCATCTCTGCATTACTTTCTCTTTGATTGTGTGCATTGTACAGTCGGCGGGTGTTATGTCGTGTCGTGTTGCCTGGCGAGGGTGGGCGGTTTTGGAAAAGTTTGACCCGCAGGGGCGGCCAAGTTAGGCCGGGGCCATATGAGAGGCCTAATACACTATTTTGATGTTGTTGGTGTTATTGCCATTGTAGCAAAACCCGTTGCAGTAAATATTTTGCTTCTGGTGTAAATGATAACATTTATTTTTGAGAGGAATTCCGAGACTTCCCGAGCTGGTCTTGATGCTCTCGCCTCTTGTGCATCTTTTTTTTTTCTTTTTTTTTCTTTTGTGTATTATGTGACTTACTGACTTACTATATAGGTAGCTACGTGGACCGGCGAGCACCGAGTTCTGGTCTGACCAACGTTATGGTACTTATTTAAGAAAAAGAAAAAAAAGATTTCATCGGCACAACTCCCGTATTACGTCCGTAGACATTTCGATATACGCGTTGATCTGTAACCACCATGATCGACGTCGAACATATCGAGATCTTTTAAGAATCATTATGTAGGTACCTACCCAAATTGTATATTCCACTGCATATACCAAGGTCCAAGGTAAAGCCCCCGTGTCGTTTTCCATTCCATGGTTTTTCCATTGGAACTTTCTGTTCGGCTTCGAATGCAACTCCACGCGCCTAATCTTCAACGTTACCTTCTCCAACCAGGGTTAGGCTCATCGCTTCAAACCAGTCGCCCGGGTATAGGTAGATGAAGGTGCCACACTTTTTATTCACGGCTCTGCATCTCGAATGACGCACGTCTGAGGCGCCCCCGGCTATTTATTCTTCAACCTCGTCCTTGGTACTTGGAATTGTAAGGGGATCAATCTGATTCCGCGCTGACTTATTTGTCTTTGCCTCCCCTTGCTGGCTTCATAAAGGGGGGATGGGGGTCCGTCCGTCCGTGGCGTCGTCGTTCTCAATCACACCTACCTTCTTTCTTGGCTACCGGCTCGTTGCTAATGACGATGGCGCCCCCTTGGACGGACGGGTAGAGGCGAGTGCTACCCACCCGAGTAGATGTTACGCATGCTCCCCCTTTAATAAGCGGACGAATAATTATTATAGGGGCGGCTTCCTCAGCGCCCATCGACCGGCCCGACAATGTCTAGTTCCTGATGCTATCCGATGGTAATCCTTATGGTGGAGTCTCGGGAGCTGTGCTGCCCCCCCGTAACTGGCTGGCTTGTTTACTACATAGCTACTACTACTACATTGTAGACCGCGCTACGATGCCTTTTGCGGTATACAAGCTCGATTCGTGCATGGATAGGTATTATATTATATGCAGTAGGGTATTAGATATTCCATATTTTCTTGCTTGCTGCTGCCACGTTCCACCCTTTGAGGGGGTCAGCAAAGCTGCTCTCTCATGCAGTTGGTTCCTTTCTATATCACCGTACATCACGTATGAAAACATATAATTTGCTTTTCTTGCCCTCTTGCCCCCAATCCTCCTCCTAACGGTCAACATGCCATGCTAGCTGTTATGCAGTTGGTACCGGGTCGCATCTGATGATATCGCTTCTCGCTGCGGTGAGGCGGACGGAGTGAAGCGAGCGAACGGGAGGGTGAAGGGAGGCCGTTCCGGCCACCGGCTCAATGCCCCTTTCTTCTAACTCCTCCCCCCCTGAGGTCTTCCAATTCCTCCCGGTTTTTACGCGACGTATATACCTCAAGCTGACATCCATCCGCAAGACAAACCAGCGAGAAACGCTAAACGAGCTACAAGCAGTTGCTTTCACAATCACTAGTCCCCTATAATACCGGCACCGGGGCTAGCCCGCTCTCCCACCCCCCCCCCCTTTTGTTTCTTTCTGTCATTTACGCGATAGATTCTCGGGCAATCCCGCATTTTCGACCAACAGTATTAACGAGCCTCGGCACTTACTTACTTGATTTGATTTGACTAGCAGCATGAACATAACAAGACCAGCCGATCTCTACACATTTGGACCAGACCGGTCGAGCAGGTTCTTGCTGCTAGCACGCAACCGTGTTGTATAAACCACAAGGGACTTATACAAACAAACTACTACAAACTACGAAACGCCATGCTTCATTCGAGTCGATCGATATTATTTATATATTATGACTATCAACAGCGTGATTGCTAACTACATGCTTCATGACCTGGAAAATGAATAATTCTTCAAGTTATCACCACTATGCTATCACTTAAAGAAATATATGAGGCTCGATCTACATCCGTAATGACACCTTCCAACGGCACCTCCCGCCCCTCCTCGTCCAACATGCTGTGCCCCTTGGATACTTACCGTAAGCCGTCACCTGAGCGGCCTAACACCACCAACCAAACTACCTACCTAATGTATTTCCACTTACACAAAGACGAGGTTGGTTCGAGAGGGAACGCCTCTGATCACATGCATACCACACATAGCAATAACAATAAGAGCCGCCCGTCTTCGATATGATATGTAAAATTCGATCGGGTCATGATTATTATATTATTTCGCCTCGAGCGCTTGTCCGAGGTAGGCAGGTCCGAGGCTGCGACAAGGACGTTACGCAAAATGAGATGAATAAAACCAACATCCGCCCGAGTGAGCGAGGGAAACACAACCTTCGTACCCTCAACACTGGCACTGGGTAACTCCGGGGTGGGTTGCCGAGGTAGCGGGCTGGCGCTACATGAGACAACGGTGGGCAATTACTTTATTTGTTGACAGCGGGATTCCCATCTTGATAACCATCTTGATGCAAGTTCGTATAGTTATTGTACAGGATGACATGAAGAAATGAAAATATGGTCGGCGGCGTAGAGCGCGCGAAGGGGGCGAGAGTGAATATACAGGGTGAGGACACTCGTTCCAAGCTCCGGCCTTCTCTCCCTTTGCACTTTCCACGATGCCGTCCGTGGCCGACTATAGAGATGGCCTAGTCTTCCTGTTAGGGGCCATATGGCTGGCTACCTCGGGCAGTATCTAATAAGAGAGTCCGAACTCGGACCTTTCGTCCTTTCGTTCCTTCGTATTACCCACTATGTCCCCTCGAATGCAAGAACGACACCCACCCCGTCTATAACGTTCCCCCATCCATGCGTAATACAGAGGTATCTTAGTTAATCATTCTCTCCAGAGGTTGCCTTAGTGGTGCTCGGCGTGAGAGCCGCCGTGGTACCCAATTATCTTGCGGCGACCGATCATCTCGCCGACGGTGAAAAAGCCGAGGCATTCCGCAAACAGAACGCCGGTATTAATAATCTGGGCTCTGCTGATACTTCTCGCTTGCTGTATGATAGTGGAGGGCTGATCTACAACCTTGGATGCCGTCTGAACAAGAGGTTTCGGGTTCTTCGCGGACTGCAGCACGCGCTGCCAGTAGCTTTGGACGGTAGTAAGGGAACTATGAATATCTTGTTAGAGCCGTAAGCAATAACCTGTATGCTATACCTCGAACTCACGGTGGTGACATCTTCTGGCCCCTGAAGACGATCTTGGCGAGTTCTAAGCCGACCTTGGAATAGTAGGAAACCGTAGGTGCTGTTCCTGCAAACCCAAAACATCAGTCGCTATCCAAACAAACGCACATACGTCCCTCCTAAGTAACCCGTAATACTCTCACATGGATCCACATACTCTCAAAAAATGCGACTAATCTTCCGGTGCGACCGCCAACTTTGCCCAGCGAGTTCGCAATTCCCTTGGCAGCGCCTGCAATGGCCGGTCCAGCCGACGAGGTGACCCTCGAGAGACCCTGCGCTGCCTTAGCCGAGTACTCGGTTGCCTTGGCTGTGTATTCGGACGCCTTTGCCGCATACTGAGAGGCAGTCTGGGAAGCGTTGGAAGAGGCTTTCGACGCAGTCTCCTTGGCCGTCTCCTTAGCCGCCTCGGAAGCCTTAGCGGTAGTGGTCGACTCGAACCTTCGGGCCGCCATGCGACCCCAAGCTCCTGATTGCCGAAGCAGGGGACGTGCGAGAGCGGACGACATTGCTGGACTCGGGTATTCGGGGTTTTACTCTGAGACGTACGAGTAAAGAGGCCTAAGTCGTGTCGGATGACCGGAGAATTGAATGGGAGGGAAGGGAGTGAGAGTTCGCAAGGGTCGTCGTCGATGGGGAAAGTTGTTTCTCGCACTGGAAAAAAAACACTCAAAAGATTCGAAATCGGCTGTTCGAAAATGTACCCCCGGCGGAAAAACCCGATCCGAGCTTGGACCTCAAGGTTAAAAACCTAGGTACCTGGTACAACGGTACCCCGTGGATCTTGAGCAATTGACCAATCAGACCACTCATAGGTAAGGAGAGTTCCATATTAAAGTTAAAGCTCCTTCTCAGTTGTTATCATCCCATGTCTTCTTTACCTTTTACCTTTCATCTTTGACCTTTTGAACCTCATGGCTTCATTTTTCTTTTTTACATTATACTCACTTATACTCACTATGGTAAATTTCACATTGAACACCCAATATCATCACAGCTGGCTTGATCTATAGTCTTTATTATGCTTTATTTATGTATCACTAGCTGCGTTGTTTATGTATCATTACGCTAAGAAGATACCTATTCCCAAAGACTCACTTGACCTTGGCCCCAGAGCCCTCACTCTAATAATGGTTCCTAACTCTGCCGCATACTCTCCTATGAGTATAGTGGAGTTTGAGCTAATCGAGACTTTGAATTTGGACTTTGATGGCACCCGTCTTAGGGTCCGCTGCCGTGTTGAAGGCGTCGAGAGCGTCTTCAAGCTTGAATCGATGAGTAACAAGCTTTGAGAGGTCTACTACGCCATTCTCGACCAAGCGAATAGCTCGAGGCCACGTGTTGCAGTATCGGTATTGGAACTCTACGTCAACTTCTCGGGTGCTGGCCCGCATGAAGGGGAAGTTGATTTCGTTCTTCCCGACACCGGTGATGAATACCTTGCCTCCGAATTTAACAGCCCAGACGGCCGATGCTATACTGCTCTCCACTCCAGTGCACTCTATAGCCAGAGATGGTTCGATGCCACCGAAAGATTCTACGATCTTCTTAGCCGAATCTTCGGCACTCGCCCTCTCTACTTTGTGGGTTATGACTGACGGGCAGATCTCCTTGGCGAATTTTAGTCGCCCTTCGTCGATGTCGGTAATGACTAGAGGGCAAGCGCCAGCAGCTTGACAGCAGAGCAATGTGATTAATCCGATCGGCCCAGCACCGCAAACCAGTACTGGGTCACCTAGATTAACACCGGCTCTTTGCATACCAGCCAGTGCGACGCTGAGAGGCTCTAACATGGCCCCGTTTTCGTATGACATATTTCCAATCTTGTGACACCAAATAGCTGGGTGGTTTACGTATCTCCGTAATAGGCCCGGAACCGGGGGTGTCGATAGGAATAGGACCTTCTCGCAACCGTTGTAACGGCCCGTTAGGCAAGGCTCACACTCGTTGCAGATGATGTTCGGTTCTATCGCGACTCGATCTCCAACTTTTAGATGTGTCACTGACGGATGCACCGCGATAACCTGGCCAGCAGATTCGTGCCCCAGGATATGATCTCCCTCTACGATCATAGGTCCGATGCATCCTGCGTGCCAGAAGTGGACGTCGGAGCTGCGTAACGATTAGCAAGACAGTCTTACTCGTCTTATACGACGACGGCTACTGACCCACATATCCCAGTGCTCTTGATAGCAACAGTGACTTCACCGTGTTTCAAGCTCTCTCCCTTCTGCACATCCTCTACTGTTGGTTCTGCCTCGTTGATCCATAGCTTGTGGGCGGGATTCGTGAAGACGGCAATGTTTGCCTTGGAAGGCTTCACGACAGTATCAACTGCAGTCGAGCTCATCTTGACAGCTTCGAGAAGGAATTGAAGCAAGACAAAGGACAACCACGAACGGAGAGGGAGAGAAGGTTCAAAGAGAGTTTAAAAGTACTAGGAGGGGGAGCTCAAAGGAGGGGCCTACCCGTTATTATGTCCCTCTGACCCCTTCGCTTCCGTTCCCCAGTATTTTGTCGAATTCTAGACTGTTGACCCGAAACTGGCTGATCTAGAACGATGTCGGATAAGTCTTGATCTAGCTCGTGGTCTAATACAGCCACCGAGCTATGGCCCTACATGGATCGGAAACTATATCTGCATCGGGACTATATATCATCGTCGCGTACACGTATAAAATACTAGTAGGTCAAATGGTATTGTGAATGTACTGTGCTCTGTCTGCATGAGGGGGGATGTAGGGTGCTCAATTGGATTGGGGCTAGCAATGCGATGACGTTCGGTTGCTATACGTCCGATTAAAATGGGGGATATGGGGACGGACAAGCTTGTCCTCTTTACCGCACCAATTATTCTCGTCGCAGAGCACATCGTCAAGGTCTCATCCCCGCAAAACCTTCTATCATGTGGTGGGCAGCACAGTAGCGCTCCTCACGATGGGTAACTAGCTTCGGATGTCGGCCGCAGGAACAATTCTATTAGTTCTGCTACCTAGGTAAGTTAGATGTAACAACCATCCGAGGCAGCATCGTGACTTTTGGGGTCTATCATCAGCTGGTCTGTCAAATTTGCTTGTAAGTACATACGGATTAGACGTTCCCACGTTCCCACGTTTCCATGTCTTTCTTATCTTTACGCAACCAGGAATCGAGCAAACCCTACATGTCGTTTTTGCGCGTACTATATAACCCCGCGAATGGGAGATGTTATAAAGTGCACATAGATCTAGAATCCAATGAGTTCCTCTATATTAGGTAGATACATCTAGCATGGAGCATGGATCTGCGGTCGCTCCGCATGTATGCAATTACATAGGATCCCCCTGCTTTTAGTAGCGAGCCATTCATTCATCTAAATACAAAATTCTCTAAGGGGTAGTATAAGATTAGTATACTGGAATCCTTCAGGGGATGAAGTTGATGCTCTTGAGATGGTAAGCTAGGTACCTGTGTATGTCAGTGGCAAAGCCCTGTTTTTGGGGTGTTACTACATACACCAGCCACATTTCTGTACAATACCTAATGGACCGAAACGTAAAGACTGAGCCTCTGAGGGGCAACAATTTGTCACCAATTAAGACGCAATATTTCTAGTTTGTAGATTGGGTAGCACACTTTATATTGCATCCTACTCCAAATTGGACCTAAATCCTCAACTTGACTTGCCTCAACTTACCTCGACTTACCTCAACTATCTTTACTAACCTAGTCTACTACACCTAGGTATATACTTCACAATCAAAATATATAGTTCCTACCCACCGCCTTATATATATGCCTATATATATATTTCATCTTCCCAAATTTAGTTAACTGACAATCACTACATATTTTTGAAAATGAATAACGGCGAATCCAAAATTGGCGTCGACTATTTAGCTCGCCTTGAGCATTTCCATCAACTTGATAAAGAGAGAGAGGATATGATTAAAGATTTAATAGCTAAATACGGTGATCTCGAGCAACGCTTCGAGTTGAAATGTAAAGAATTTGCTAATGAGGCTCAAACGCGCGCTATATATCAAGCTCAGGCCAACGATGCTTCTAAAAAACTTACTGATATTCGACATAAAATGGTAAAGCATACCACCTAAGCCCCTGTATAGCCCCGTGATATCAAATATACAATATACTAAAGTTGCCTAGGATGTTAATTCTTTTGCCATTGCTATTATCGATGGCGATGGCGCCGTTTTTCGCGACGATTGGATTAGGAAGGGCGAAGACGGCGGCGCGATGGCCGCTCATCAGTTACGCGACGACATTAAGAAACATCTTAAAGCAGCTTATCCAGACGTTAACACCGAACCGTGGCACGTAATGGTTCAGGTCGTTCTTAACCTCGAGGGACTCTCCAGAAAGCTTTTTTGTGTTGATCTCGCAAAGAGCATGAGCGAACTATCCGCCTTCGCTCGTGGATTCAGTCGTGCCCAGGGGCTTTTTTCTTTTATCGACGTCGGCAAGGGCAAGGAGCAGGCCGATTTTAAAGTCCGCGAAACGCTGCGCTTGATGGTACATAACCTTCAGTGCAAGCATATTATCTTTGGGCCTTGCCACGACAAAGGTTATATCGTTGAACTGAGACCATATCAGCTCGAGACGTCTGTTCTTAACAAGATCACTCTACTTGAAACTACCCAGCCCCCGCGCGAATTCGGTGAGCTGGCGTTTCGCAGAGTTAAGTTTAACGATGTCTTCCGCTCTGAACTCCTTCCAGAAGGCTGGCTTCCGCCGACTCCTCCGCCTTCGGCAAGCAAACCGACCCCAATCACGCCGTCATCAGTAAACAAGGCAATGAACTATTCCGCCATCGCTTCTGCGTGGACTAGCACGATTCCGTTCGTCAACAGTTTCAAAAAGCCCGTAGCTACGCCGATGAAATCGATAAAGGCATCTCCCCGCAGATTCTATTTCGTCAACGCCTCGGGTCAGCGTGTCGATGGGCCCTTACCGCAAGCCGATGTCTACTCGGAGCAGAGCTTCAAAGACCGCTGCGAAGAAGAGGGAGGTAGGAAGCCCTGCAACAGGTTCCATCTGCACGGCATCTGCGAGGAAAATGGATGCTTGTACTACCACGGGGAGCCCCTGAGCCCGGGCGAACAGCTCATCTTACGAATTAAAGCCAGATGCTCTCCATGCAATTATAAGAGCTCCTGTAAGAATGTCGATTGCTATTGGGGCCATCATTGCAAGTACCAGAAGTGCCAGAGACTTAATTGCGTCTTTGTTAACACTCATGGGATAGACTTGGTAAGTTACTTTTATTCAGTTACTAAACTACGCTAATAAAAAATCAAAACCCAGACTCCAGCGGAGAAAGTTTACGAAGACGGCTCGCGAGAGGTCTTATCTCTTTAAGAAATACGGCGATTCGGTATATAAGACTTAGGCGAAGTCGTAGTCTACCTACGTTATTGCTAACGCTTTAAATCTTAATCTTTAATTTTCACATCACCTCAGATACACGAAGAGATACAGTAGAGGAATGGATATGCTTTTTATTTATTATGAGAGGGGAGCTATGTACAGGTTATGGTATTAATATGTTATGGTTCACGGTGTGCTTGTCAGGCTTATAGCACAAGCCTTCTGGGTAGGGTTAATTGATAACCCTAACACATCAAATGGTCTTATTTCTTTGGCTTACGCTCCTTTTTGGACATATCTGAAAAGATGAACATGTATGTTCGATATAAGGCTGTGAGGACTGCATAATGTTCGTAGACGCCTAGCAGTCGGAAAAACAGGGCGCTGTTCCCTGACTCCGGCGTATCTTCCTTTGGTTTGTTTTCCTTCTTGGGTGGCATTTTCTTAACTTACAGTCTTGTGTGGTTTCGTGTAGGCTAAAATGTACGATGGTAGGTAGAAGTTGTTTAGGTAGGTAATTTGGTATGCACTATTAGGAACAATGAAGAATTGATTGAAAGGCAAACACTGTCAACTTATACTAGATCGTAACAATCTCCTTGTTCCCTAGATGCCGAATTGTGTTGAATCAATCAAATTATTCATCTTTGACTGTAACAATTTCTTGTGTCATCGAACAATGTCTTTGACCACGAACATGAATCACTCATACCGCTAAAACCGCCAATACAAGGTGATAGTATCGAATTAACAGTACTTGTAGGTAACAATATTAGTGAGGTGTCGATTAAATGAACTTGTTTACATATTGTGTTGGCAAATCACGATATATAAACATGGCTTTCTACTCAAGTTTCTTCTCCTTTTTCTCATCACCATCATCATCATCATCATCATCATCATCATCATCATCATCATCATCATCATCATCATCATCACGAAATCCATCATTCTGTGAGAACTCAAGAACCTTCTGAATTTTCATCACCCAGACAACGTCAAAAAACGCTCAATATACTTTATTGATTCAAGCCCCTTTTTATTATATCTTCCCATCAAAGAACAAATTTGATCAAAATGTCTTCTAGCAACACAGATATGCTTAGCCTTCGCTCCAACGACGGCGTACTTATCCAAATGAGCCGCCCGGCCGCCCGTTTATCTGAAGTCCTTTTCGAAATGATGAACGATCTGGACGGACAGGAGACCACCGAAGTCCCCATCTCCGAAGTCAACGCACAAACCTTGAGTATCATCGTCGAATGGTGCGAGGCCACGGCCGTAAAGAAAGCTCAGGAAGAGGCGAAGAATGAACAAGAGAGGATCGCAAAGGAGAACCGTCGACAGGCGCGCAAGGAGGCTCGCGAAGCGCGTGAATCGGCTCGGCTGGAGCGCGAGGCTCAAGGCGAGGAGGTCGGGCCCCCGGAGCCGGCCAACGACGACTCGGACAGCGACCACGAACCCATCACATCCACCATCTACGAACGGCCCGCGGACGTGATCCCCGAGTGGGACAGGGCGTTCATAGGCCGGCTCAACAAGGAGCAGTTGTTCGAGCTGATCACGGCGGTGAACTTCTTCGATATCGACGAGCTCTTCGACTACTGCGCCAAGACGATCGCGATCATCATCCAGGACATGTCGACCGAGCAGATGCGCGAGTATTTCGGAGTCGAGAACGACTTTACCCCCGAGGAGGAGGCGCAGCTTCGCAAGGACCACGGGTGGGCTGATCCTGATCCAAGTTACTTTTAGGTAACTAAATTTCTTCTTCTCGCGTATAGGGATGAAATGTAACTTGCCTGGCTTGAAATAGCCGCTACATAGTTTAGATTGACTAGCTAAGTTATGTGTATTATTAGTATAAAGTAATAAAAAAAAGTTAGTTGGTCAATTTATTGTATTTATTACTAGAGTGTGTGAATCGTCTTCCATGTTTCGCTTTCAGGGGGTTGGTTTGGATGTTGTGCAGAACAGATTTAGATAATATAAGGAGTCTGTTACGTAACTTAGACCTTGACAAGTCAACTAACCAACCAACTAACTAAACGAAAAGACTAATAAAAAATAAAGAAAAGAAAAAGAAAAAAAAACATACAACACCGGGGATTCGCTGGTCGTCACCGACCCAACTACTAATCCGGCGGTATCCGGCTTGTCTAGGGGAGAGCGGACGGGATCCCGAATTTTCCAGATCCTATGGTCGTATGTGATAATTTGTGGTGTTTTCAAGTCTTATATAGGTACCCAATATATCCCTCCGCCAAAATCGAAAAACCCACCAATTCTCCTACCTCCCTCCCACCCATAACCATGGAACATATACATCACGCTTAAACTCACAAGACGCTACAATCAATCAATCAATCAAGCAATGGTCCAATCAACACTTGTCCTCCAAGATTCTATGTCCCTTTTTGAATAAAATTACAACTGCGCAAAAGGTATATACAAGAAGAAGAAAAAAAAAAAGACGCTGTACGTTCGCGACGGCTTCAAGCTGCTACATAGCTAGGGTAGAGCTTCTTTCCCATCATCCGTTTGCTTTCTCGCTCGGTTGTTTGTTCGCCTATGGTATCTCGCTCTATCCGTCTCTCGTGAGAAACAAAAAAAAAAGAGAAACAAAAAACCTCCCCCCTATCGTTATATCTTATACACTACAGCCTAGATAGACCGTAACAACTTTTTACAGATGAACATCAACCCCTTCTTCTTTCGGGGGGTTTTTTTTTCTTGCATCTGCCCAGTCTAGTCTGGTCTATCCAGGCGATCCGCGTGTTTTCAGCAGGACGTACCGTGGACTAACCTAATCTAGACTGACTAGTAAATAGCCCGACGCCGCCGCAGCGATGGCGATGCGCGCTTCGTGTGCGCGTCGGGGCACCGGGTCGTAGTTATGATCTCGGTCTTGGTCTTGTAGATAACAGACGGCTGAGCGGCATTGTTCACGCCCGCGGGAGCAGGGGCAGAATCGTCCTGCGCTACGGGCTCGGCGGGGGAAGGTGTTGGGGCTGGGGCTGGAGCCGGGGTTGGTTCTGGTTCTGGCTCCGGCTCGGGGGTCTTCTTGACGTGAGGGGTGGCCTGGACGCTGGTTGCGGTGGGCACGACGACCAGAGGGTCGATGGATAGGGTATTGACGATTGGCGCCGTTAGGCTGTTTAGAGGGATGGGGTTGCCGCGCTGGAGAGGGGTGGTGGCGTTGGCGTAGGGAGCGCCGGTGGCAGAGATAGGGCAGTGTGTTGTGGTTAGGGTGGCGGTGTCGTCGACGACGACGATCTGGGTCAGGCTAGCCGGGCAGTTCATGACTTGGGCGGCACACTCTGTGATAGTGTACTTGCCCGTCGTCGTGTGCTTCTCGGTAACGAGGGGTACGGGGCAGGCCAAGACAGATGCTGGGGGAGTCATCTCGGGGGGTGCGAGAGAAGCCGAGCCGGTACCAGTAACAAGTGGTTTTCTCGTGGTGGTGGGCTTGGCCGGCGCCTTCGTCTTAGACGACACCCTAGTTCGGATACCGGTGCCGACGGGCTTCTTGCCTGTTCCTAGCGCGGGAGTAGGCTCAGGCTCAGGGGTACCGGTAGCAGTCAAGAAGCAAGTGCTAGTAGACGCGGTGAAGACGGTAGTACTGAGTGTAGGGTTGAAGTCAACGACAGGGTTATTAGCCACATCCGCACCGATATCGACGAACACGCCCGCGTTAATGTTAATATCCGCGGACGCGGGAAGCAGACATTCGCCTTCCTCGGAGATGCTGCCGTTGCGGTCGAATTGTTGCGAGAATTCTTCCGAGAGCGTCACCTCGGGAATGTACAAGAACGCGCCGACGAGGGCTTGCGCGTCGAATAGCTTGTTGCCGGGTAGGTCTACACCGGCTTGTACACGTAGACGCAGTGCCACGGTGATATCAGCGGGAGCGTCAACGGTCAAGGGGAGAAGAGTCGTCTGGGCGCCATCGCTATGGTGGTGGTTAGGAATTGTATTCTTATCTGATATAATTTGGGCTTCCCAGCCTGATCGGATAGTTCAGGGGTAGGGAAAGGAATACAAGGGAAACTTACAAATTGGCTGTGTTGGGAATGCTAGGGTCGAGAGGTATCTTATAAGACGATCCGTCAGGGATAGTGACTTCGAAACCAGTGTCGGTAGAGATCTCGGCCGTCACACTGACGATGAGGTCCACGTTAAAAGTAATACCGACTTGGAATCCGGGGCCCTATATTCGTCCTCTTGTTAGTCTACGGGGTCCATTCACACCACATGCTTTATTCCCTTTTAGACTTACCGAAATGCCGAGCGGTGTCTCGGACTTGAATAGGGGAATGGTGAACTGGCCATCACCGTCGACAGCCAGCCTTATACCGATAGTAGCACCAACTCCCTCGAAGCCAATCGTCAAGCTGGCGTCGTTGAGCGGGTTGAAATCTTTGATATCGTGGAGGAAGTCGCCGAGATCATCCGGGAATTCAGCAGACGCCCTGATGGTACCGAAAGTACTGCACTCGCTGCAGGATAGATCCAGCGAGATATCAACTCCCTTCGCGGCGGTCCAAGCACTAGTTGATCGTTAGTATATATGTTTGCATATATTTAATTATTTAATCATATAATTATATATAAGTAAGATATAAGAGACGGGCAGTTGAAAAAGAGTTACATACCCTGAAAACAAAGTCACATCTGAAAAGTCGTGATCGAAACTAAAGGTCGTATCGGCATCACGCTTGATCATCGACCTCGTCCTTATCGGCCGCGGCGCAGGTTGAATATCGCGTCGTTCCCAAGGCATAAGCAAATCTGAAAGAGGTGAAGCGGTCACCGGCGCCAGCAGTGACCAGCAGGTCAAGGCGAAGGGCAGTAAGCTATGCATGGTTTGCTTAGGTCCTGCTAACGAGAAAAAGAATGTATATATATAGTCGGTTGCTGGCCGGAGCATCCACCGAACGGTCGGATAACAGAGAGTGAGAGGGCGGAAAGAAAAGGAGAGACAAGAAACGAGGAAACGGACGGAGGAAAGAAGGCTTCACCACAAACTCATCATGTACAACACAATGTTAAAGAAAGACGTAGGTATATACCTAGACGAGAGGTAGAAGGTAGAGGTAGAAGGAGTAGAAGAAGTAGAAAAGGAAAAAATATTAGATTCCTTCTTCCCTAACCCATCACACATATAATAGCAACAACAGCAACAACAACAGAATAATAGGAATAGGAACCGCATCCGATCCTCTCGTAGAGTCAATTAACTAGGTAGGTAACTCCCCTGGGCCAGACCGTCGTGCTCTCCCCTCCCCTCCCCCTGGGTAGTCTCACTAAAGCCGAATGTGGTTTGTGGTATTTTGGCATCGTGCATCGTGCGTGCGGCGATAGCCCACGGATCGGGCAGAAGGATTCGGGGCCAGGGTTGAACTTAACTCAACGTTGGCTCACGCCGTCATGAAACCGAAACGAGCATCTGCCAAGACGAACGCTCCGTTGAACCACTGAACCACCTTTACTTATATTAAATGTGCAATCTACATAGCACACGCGAACAGCTAAATAGAGATCTAAGCTGGTCTGGTCTGGTCTGGTCTGGTCTGCTCTCGCAAATACTCACCTGAGATGAATGACTCTGACTTGTAAGTGTCCACCGAGCAATCCCATATCGTATACTTGTTTCGTACCTAAGCCATGTAAGTCCTTCGTTTCTCCGCATACTATAACATCTTCTACTAAAAATTCATCAGCCCGCAACTCCATCAATCATCACAATAAACTGTAAAAACCTCTACGACACCGGTATGTAGTAGGCTACTACATACCTATACCCAACTCACCTCCTGCATACCCCCCTCCCTCTCCCCTCTCCCCATTCTCGCCCATCCGGTTTTAAAAGGCGACGGAAGGGATGGAATAGACTGCAAGGCTGCGACAAAACCAGCCTGCCTTTCCGCAAAAGGCAGTCGGGAACTTAATATACAGATTACCTTAGGTATGTAGCCTAGGTATGTATATTTAAGCTTACATACATACGGGGAATTAATCCCCGCCCAGGGGTGAAGGTCTTGAACTCTTTTAAGATGGATAGATCGTCCGCCGCACCGGGTTCCTTAATTAAATTTCACGAGTGACGAACTGCCCGCTCAACGACTTACCTGATCGGGACTGCGCCACCTCCCTCTTCGAGCCTTCAGCTGTTAGGGCAGGTAGGGCCAGCCCGTGTTTCACCTTCGTCTATATAAGGTGATACATACATAGTACCTGCATATATAATACACCCGATGCATATTCTATAGTTATATGTACTTACCTAGTAGGTATTGTACCTACGTATAGAAGGATTCCTTATGTCGTAACCTTTTTTTACTTTTTTTACCTTTTTGCTTTTTTCTATACTACTTACCTACGTCGTCCTTCTCTCTTCGTCGTAGCGTCATGTCATCTCTTTTGTTACACCCCCTGCGCCCGTACCTGACCCAGGTCCGATCTGAGGCTGCGCAAAACGTGGGCACCATACAAGGTACATACTTACCTCTTACAGGGCATCCGAGATATAAATAAACCACCATTTACCCCGTACTACCTACTGTTACATACATACCTTTAACTAAACCAAAGATTTGCTCGTGTGAGGCTCAGCTAATACAGGTACAATACATACCTACCTAGGTATTAATCATACGCTGCCATAGGTATGCAGATCAATCAGCCCGAGACACAGATGCTGCCCAGTCAACAGGTAGTCAGCTCAGTCCACAAATAAAAAGCGTGCACATCATCAAAATCCATGGCGCCAGCAACACCAATTCTCGAGTTGAGGATGCTCACGTGTACCCATCCAAATCCCTCTCAACCCCCCCGAATTAGTTAATCATCACCGCACTAACATGATATAAAGAACCTATCACCAGCTTCACCGAGAACAAATGAGAAAACTCCAAAATACCATTTCCAGAATCGTTCAAACAATAAAATAAAATAAAATAAAAATCAGAGTAGTCTATTTTCGCCGTCTCAATTCCATGGTGCGAGATGCCTCTTCTATAATAGAACCTAAACCCTCTCCCTTTCTCCCTTCCTCCCTAGTATTGTATCGTAGGCCCCTAGGTATGTAAAGCCGCTACTCCTAATCTCCCTTCTTCACCCCATGGATTTGATCGCTTGTGATACACCGACAACACCATTGTTGCCATAATACACCTTGTAAGTTTGAACAAAAGAGAAGCGATGCCAAAGGTTTGTTTCGTCCGTCCATGCAATGGTTTTTCGTTAATCGCCGTCGCGGCGTAGATGATACAACTCATCTCTCTATTTCACCTTCTCTTCTATAACCTTCTGCTGCTGCTCCTGCTGCTGCGCGTCCTTGGCTTGAACCAGGTCGGCCTCGGCATCAACCGCTTCGCCCACCACCTCTTTGCTGAGGCCTTGCTCTGCGGCCGCCGCTTGAGCGCGATCCTCTTTATCGTCAATGTCGTCTACGTCCTTAGGCGTGGCGAGACCCGTGTCCTGGTTCTCCTGGTTCTGCTCGTTCTCTTCCTCGATCAGATCCTGTTGCTCCTTCAGAACCTCGAGTCGTTGCTTGTTGGTCGCCGCACCCTCGGCATTGTGCACCTCAAGCTCGATCTCGTGGTAAAGTTCCTCGGGGATAGACGACAGAACGCCAGTTAGGGCCTCGATCTGGCTGTGGAAGCCACCCTCTGTCTTCTCGCCGTACATGTAAGCATTGCTTAGCACGAGCAAGGTCGAAGGAACCCCGTGCTTTAACCGTAGGTCCAACCAAGATTGAAGGTCCTCTCGTAGTCGAGCCGGCGATACTGTATGCGTCTTAATGCCTCGGCTGGCACATGCAGTCTGCAGCTCTGCGACATTGAGACTGTCGACGCCTTCGTAGCTGATCGCCTTGTCGTCCCTCTTGATTTGCCTCATTCTGTGACGAATTTGGTACCTGAGCATGATGTCCGTGCCGAACGTATTCAAATTCAGGTACCGACACATAGATACGAGTTGCGGCCTCGACAGATTGTCAAGAGTCAGGTCGTCCCTAAAGGCCTTGCAAACCTTAATGACGTCGTCTGTGCTTGGCTTCTCTCCGGTGGCCCGTAATTTTCGGAAGAATGTAGCAAACTCCTCCTTCTGCGTCGTCGAAGGCGACAGAGGAAGCCCCGTCTCCTTTAGAGTCTCCCGGAGGAAAACGCTGACCTCCTTACGAGTCGCACGTAACGTCGCGGCCTTCTTGTCCTTGGACTGTTGGGCTTCGTATGTGCTAGGCAGCATATTGGGGAACAATTTTAGGGCGATAGGTAGGAGCGCTTCGGCGAAGGGAACGATGATGAAGACTGAAAATGGAACTAAGCGTCCCAGATCCTGAACTGTGCGTTGCAGCTGTCTGTTCTCTCGTCGGGTCAATTCGTAACCGGCAGCCATCTTTAATGCTAGCTTGCTGCTGATCTTGACTTCCGTCGCCAGAAGCTTGGTGCCGTCCCAGTAGTGTTGGAGTTCATGCTTGATCTTTTGTCCGAGAGTCAACTTCTTCTCCTGTTTTCCTTCTTGCTTCTCAACATCTGCTGCCTTCTTCGCGGCCAACGCGGTCAAGGACTTGGGTTCGGCAGAGGGCTCATCGATGGAAGACTGTGTTGCCTTTGCAGTGGTTGCGTCCTCGGCTGCTTTCGCTTTAGCCTCGGATGCCTTCTTGCTCGATGCAGGCGTGTCTGTCTTTGGAAGAGGCTTCTTGGCCTGCTCTGCGTTGAAACCAGGGGGTGGTACGTCGGAGAGCCCAACCGAATGCCGTTCGGTTGATATACTTCTAATGGGAATCAGAAGGGCTCGCACAGCGAAATCTGAAGGAAGTTGGCGGCTCTGTCGCCCAAGGTAGGCTGACGGAAGAGCGAGGCCCGGTCGAGCAGCAGTCCTCCCTGCAAAGGGGTTTATTAAAACCGCCTTGCGGGCAGCGGTTCTAGAGGATGCGCTCATATCGATAAGGGGGTGAAGATAACAGTAGACTAATTAAGCATACAGGAGTAGGAAGATAACTTTGGGAACGGCAGTGGGTGTGTAAGTGCGAGGGTGTAAAGGCGCGAGTGTGTGCGGTTGTGCGGTTGTGCGGTTGTTGCAAGAAAGTTGTGTACAAGAGTAAACGTTGAGAAAGATAGGAATGAAGAAGTAGCTTTTTCTCGCTCCCAATGCAATCGGGTTATTAAGGTAAGGTTATTACATTGCATGACCCGACCCCCGAACGACTAAGTCCGGACGACTTACATGCAGTACATCGTTGGTAAAAGCCTAAATCACGTGGTGATAATGACCGATAATGACTGATAATCACAATCTCCGCTTATCCGCCCTTTCTGGGCCGTTCTGTACTCCATAATTTTACTCCATATTTTACTTCTTCGGACATTTCCGGCTCGGACTACCTATGCTTCCGTACTTAAGGATAAGTACCTGAGTACCTGAGTACCCAATTCAATTACGTCAGGCAATCTCCCAGCTGGTGCCATCTGGTCTCCTATTTTCCATACGTATTTTACTCCACCACAAGAGCAACTGAGCAAGTATTGATGTCACTAATAGTAGTCGTAAAAGAAATTCAACCATGTCAGGATGATACTAAACTAACCGTTAGAAGGTACATACTATGTAAGGTAGGTAGGTAGGTACAATAGTATGTACTGAAATCTATTACGCCAGCCCGGGTATCCAGATATACAAGTAATTTACTAAGTAACGATAATGACTTGCTAACTCCAAATGCTCGCTTCGCCAAATGCTATATGCTCTCTCCTTTAATTTTTCCCCTCCCAGACCCTAAGGTAATTAAAGGATATCTTCCAAACAGTACAAGTGTTATCATGTTTCGAAGAGGTAGAATATAATCAATGAATAATCATTCCTGATGTTGAGGTTATTGCCGTGGTCTCGTAATGTTCGGGCCCGTACCGATTCCCGTCAGCGTTCGCATCGCCCAGTGTAGCCAGCTTTCTGTTTCAAGCTGTATCTTTAACTCGTCTGCTCTCCGTTCCACATCGCCCACTTGTATCTCGAACTGCGCAACGCCCTCCTCTACATCTTGGACGCGGGAGACAAGAGCGTTAATCTCGTACTCTAGCTTAGCCGCCTGTACTCCAACGTCTCCAAGTGCTTCCGTGATACGCGCCCTTTGCGCTGCGATCGTCTCCTGCGAATCCTCTTTGGTCTGTCTGTATGCATCGGCGAGCTGATCGTAGAGCGCTTGCAATTCCTCTTGTTGGCGCGCGTAATAATCATCCAACTCCACGACTGATTTAACCTTGGAATCGGCCCACGGCTCAATGCTCTGCTTAACGTCGAGAACATTCACGTACAGACTCCTCGTGAGTTCCGTCAAGTAGGCGTGCTTCTCTGGCATTTCTATGCTATCCGGATTCGCGTTCTGATCGATGCTGATTACCTCTTCCCAACGGAGGACGGCTTCTTCAGCGTCTCCGAAGGAAAGCCTCCGCGCCCATCTAGCCTCATTCAAGGGACATCGTTCCGGAAGCCTTGAAACCCCGATGCTGTGACGCCTGTATAGACTAGGTAGGATGGCACTGAACTGCTGCTGCTCCATCTCAACGAACGGACCTTGAAGATCACTTTCGGCGACAACCGAGTTTGCAACTGAAGACTCGACCACCGCTGCTACTTCATTTCGCACCTCTATAGCTTGTGAACCACGTTTGAAGTCCTCGTTTATCGATCTTTGCGCGTGACCATTCGCTTTAGGCATCGGCCGTAGTTCTTTAACGGGCGTTTCCTCTGTCCCCAGTAGGCCTACCGAGGCCGGGGCAGATTCAGTTTGAATCTCCCTGTCCCTCCTTATGGCGCTTAGGTACTCCTCCGGCTTAGTCTTCCAAGTAAATGCCCTACCAATCTGACCTGGCCCCGGACCAGAACTTGGACTTGGCATAATCCCCGTAGAGGAGTCGGATAGCATAGACGACCGCGGCCCGGTGATCGCGGTTTCCGAAGATTCGTCTTTTGACAGCCGACTATTGTGACCACGTTTTTGACCACCTCCACTATAAACGGCATCCTTTATACGTCCAAGACCTGAACGGGCATCTCGAGCGACGCTCTTGAATCCACGCCGGATAGCATCCTTATCCCCAGGGGTATCCGCTATGCTAATCGCGGACCCCGGAGCTGGAGTTGAATAGATCGGAGTGTCTTCACGCCGGCGAGTTTCTGTCTCTTCTTCCAAAGGTGTCGTATGCGTCCTCTTTGCTTGACTAGAGGGCTCATCCTTGCCGAATAGGATATTATTCATATCGGGAATAGGCTTTTCGTGATTGTCAGCCGTAGAACGTTTAGGCTTGCCAAACCATAGCCACTTCGCTCGCTCTCCAGAGGCCAAGCTGATGAACCTATCAAGATCCAGAGTCTCGATATCTCCAATCCCACCTTTATCACGTCCGCTGACCATCCCAAGGACAATCTCGCCTCGCTTCCCGCCTATTTCGGTCATTGTCGATTTAACTGCTTTCTGTACGCCCCAGCCTTCACCTGCGGCTGCTTTTGCAGTCACAGTATGAAGCTTGTGCATGGTTTGCCGATCCAACCGGCGTGTCCTCTCCAGCTTCTGGTATTTTTGGAAGTAAGAGATGCCTTTCTCGGTGGCGTCGATGTCGAATACATCTTTTGGGACAGGTGCTCCGAAGTAGCTCAGCCTATTTCGCGCGCCCATCAATAATCCAAGCAATGCAGCAACAGTCGTCGGACCTAAAATACCATCCGCCGGTTCTATGTTGTAGTATTCAGCTCCGAACTCGGTCCACCAATCCCCAATAGCAGTCTCGGTTACATCGCAGAGCAGCCCATCAATATAAACCTGCTCCAATTTTCCAAACAATAAGAGAGCCACTTGGCAAATCTTAACCAGCTCAATAACAACGTCTGAAAACGGCATCTTCTCGGTTGTCTTGTACAGCTGGTAGAACTTGGCCTTGGCGGCTCCGGTGGGTTCGGACAAGGTCATGCCAGATCGACCAGAACATCCGAGCCTTTTGAGATCTTCAATGACGATAAACTCCTTTCGATGTTTTTTGATGTCGCCGTCAGGAACCGGTATAACGGTTAAAGCAGAAGGGAAGCTACTCAAGTTTGTTACCATCAACTCGCCATAATCCGTTTCTTTTGGTCGTGCATGATACTGTTGGATAGCTTTGAAATAGAGACGCAATTTTGGTGACCACGCTTTCTCGTCGGCCGGAACACTTAGCACACCTACAACAACGACGTGTTTGTTGTCCCCAGTATATGTAACGATAACGACAGTAGGCGACTGGCGGGAACAAGCCCATTGTTCAACTAGGTACAGCTCGTACCCTCGAATTTCTCGACTTTGCTCGGCGATAGTAACACACGGATCCCCTTCAAGATACCTAAAAGCTACGGGGTCTGGAATAATGACACGGCGGCGCGTAGATGTAATATGTCTCAAGTCAGGGGAAACCATCGTCGCCCGATCCAGCTGGCTCGAGGCCATATTCTTTTGCGCCGAGGTCCTCATAGGTGCGGATTCGCCATCGCGCTGTCCCCTATGCTCAGTCGAGGATACAAGCGGTCGCAACGACATGGTTGCACTCCTAACCCTCTGTCTCGTACTAATCTAGAGTTCATCATGCGTTGAAATTGACATTCGATAATAAAAACATAGCGACTGGGTAGGTTAACAAAGATGACGCAGTAGCACAATGGAATTCGGTACGCAGTATTCCGTATTGCGTATTGAAAGCTGGCATGTGACGAAGGTGGTAGTGGTAGTGGTAACGGTAACGTAGGTGGTGTCGAATGTTACTTTGAAATCCAAAAAAGGTGAATTAGCTGGAGTTTGACGGGTGTAGGCTGTAGCTACCCCTACCTAATCAAGAGTTACCGCTTCGTTGGTCCGTGTATGTACCACGGTAAAGTACATGATAAAGGGAGTTCCCCTGAAGTCTGTCTGGGCAGCTGGGCGGTCGGTATTGGAGCCAACTAACAAACGTAGCGCAGGGGAATGCGACTGAGTGGGGTTAATTGGGGTTAATATGCGTCATTGCTACCTACCTAGGTAAGTAACATCCCCACATCTGTAAAAGAGACAGTCCACAGACAGTCCGAGTACCGGCTAAATCATGCGATTCTGGGGCAGGCCCGACTGTTCATATGAAGAAACTCATTAATATCCGGGGCTTACCGCAGTGCCAGGAGGTATGTAGGTAACTAACCTAACCGCTTAATCGGTATCGTAACTGGCGCATAACAATGCAGGTCGCCATCATCTGACTTTTGAGTTTGACCGTACAACTCTTAGCCCGCTATTCCGTACTTCGATACGTTATTCCGACAACCCCCCTGGGCCTTGGAAACTTTCTTTGTCTGTTATAAACTCGACGGTTGGACCGTCTAATAACCTAATCTCTTGTCTCTTGCCAATTAGTGAAACTCATCTTTGCGCAAAGTTGAAACCTTCATCACGAGGACACAAAGTATAGCCAGCTTAGCTTTACTAGTCATTCTCGAGAGTCTCGTGCTCAATTTTAAAATGGCGTTTCTACAATTACAGAAGGACCTCGAAAAGCTAACCGGTTCAGCTAAGTTATCCGATGCGGTACAAGATGTCGACAAAGTCATAGACCTTCTCACTGCTGCGCGGGAAAAGGTAGCATCAGGTAAATAGGAGATGCTCGAATTGACACCACACCATTTCCCCTCACGGCATTGACATCGACATCGTACTAACTCAAACACATAGCAAATAACCCTCATACTACCAATTTAACCCTCGCTAAGCTACAAAATCCCATAAAGGAGCAACTAGATGTCTTAAATAGCAATTTAAGACATGTCTACAAGGCCCAGAATGAGTTCAACAAGGCCCTAAAGAATGCTTTACCTAAAGCCCAGGGCACTCTCCCTACCGAACACGACCCTATGGAGTCGCACTCGACTCTCATAAACCGCGCTATCGTCATGCATCTACTACGAGAGGGCCAGTTTGGCGTGGCCTCGACATTTATCAATGAAGCGCAACAACAACCCGAGTCTCCGCAACGGCCCAGGCCTACGCAGATTCGGCAGCCCGAATCCCAACCATCCGACTCCGAGTTTCATCCAGTCATGTCTCCTGAATACCTGCCACCTACCGACGCTATCATAACCGACGCCGATATCCCTTCCGACCTAACGGCATTTCATTCTCAAGCCCTCCAGTCCTCCTTCGCCGATATGTATTCCATCCTCTCCGCCCTCAAAGCACACAATCTATTACCCGCTATAAGCTGGGCCAGAGAGAACTGCGTAGAACTTGAAGCGCGGGGCTCCAACCTGGAATTTGAGCTCTGCAAGCTACAGTTCATATGGCTGTTTAAAGGTCCTGAAATCAATGGGCTACCCAATACGTCGGAGAACGGGGTACAGGGCGCATTACAATATGCTAGGGAGAATTTTGGTCGTTTCCAACACCGCCATCTGCGTGAGATTCGACAGCTTAGCGCCGCAATAGTGTATTCCCGGAACCTGGCAGACTCGCCGTACAGTTCTATATTTGACATCTCGGCAGCCTTTGATGAGGTCTCGGCATCATTTACACGAGAATTCTGCTCACTTCTGGGTTTATCAGCCGAATCGCCCCTCTACGTTGCAGCTACGGCCGGGGCTCTGGCTTTACCTCAACTAGTCAAGTACAACTCTAAAACAAAAGCGAAGGGTACCGAGTGGACAACGGCCAACGAGCTGGCCTTCGAGACACCGCTTCCCCGGAGCATGATGTATCACTCCATTTTTGTGTGCCCCGTGAGCAAGGAACAGACTACAGAATCAAACCCGCCCGTCATCCTACCTTGTGGCCACGTTCTAGCAAAGGAAAGCTTACACAGGCTAGCTAAAGGTAGCCGGTACAAGTGTCCGTACTGCCCTAGCGAAGGTGCTGTCAAGGACGCAAAGGAGATCATATTGTAAGCATGTTGCAGAACAAATATTAATTCGTCAGGAGTTGCGCGCATGGGTTTCTTACGCATTAGCTGGGAATGGGATTGATTAATTGAATTTAGCGCATGGCGACAGGGTTCGGTCAGGGGATATCGCTTTCACGAGGGTCTTGGAGGGCGCTGTGCCAAAACTCAACTCGGGCGTCGATACGCCGGGATGTACTTAACGTACCTATTTAGGGTTATTACCCTATATGATTATAATGAAGTCCCCGGGGATTGTATTTATTCCATCCTCCTTGCCAGGATTGAAGATTCAATATAGTTAAAGATCAAAATTACATATCACGGAAGCTGAATGTTTTTAATATTCCTTTATACGCGAGTGGCGTTTTCAAGTAACTAACTGCTCGAGTTGTACTTGTCTTCTAAAGTTAAAATTTAGCAACCTTTTCGAGTTTAAATAAGACTAGTTGTTTTCGCATGTAACTAGGTAGGTACATATGTACTACTTTGCGTAACTAATAAAAAGTATAACTGTAGGGTTCTAGCCGCATCATATAGAAAGACGTGTGCCGGCTTCCCGTAGCCGCACCCGGGCTGTATAATTACCTGTTCCCCTCCCCCCCCCCTTCTTCCTTTATACCCGTGGGGAAATTGTATTAAGCAAGTCTTAAATATTTAGTTACTAGCCGGTCTTCCGTGTCCTGGTATTCTATGTAAGGGAGTCTCATTCTACGAGCCAAACAGGCTAGGCTAGACACCCCGTTTAACAAATTTAGAGATAGATAGAGTTTTAGTCCTTCATAAGACTTGTCCGGCTATACGGCATATACTCCTAACTTCGGATGATACTATGTAGGTAATTCTCCTATTCTTCCAACCCTACACCACTCATAATTTAGACGCATCTGGGAATGGCCTGCTTATGTCCTTAACCTTTAGCCCTGCATGAGTTTTCGGGACCTTACGTCCAGACAATATCATTAACCTGCTGTAAGGACGAAGTTACCTAGTCTCCGGTACCATTAAAAAAAACGTAGACATACATAATGAATCAAACCGCAGAACATCTGCCTCTATTCTGCTAGGTAACTACATAGACTATGTGCTTATAAGTCTGACTTTGATGCTTATCGTCGTCTCTACCGGAAGAGACCCCGCGAACCATGCAACCTGAACCCCCCCAGCGAGAAATATCGAACTGGGGATGGGGGTATTCCCTGATCACCTGAGCACCTGTCTACTACTAACGCGCGGGTACAGCAATGACCTCTCCCCTGCCGGGTGAATGCTATCCAGATTTCCACTTTCCACTAAGCCTGACGCGACACACTTGGGGCGCAGAATGTTTGTCCTATAACTCCATCGAAGGTCGAAACCTAATTTCGACCCGAGTAAACGCCAGAAAAGGACAAACGAAATTCGCAAAAATCGTTCCTCGTCTTACGAGAAAAACTACAATACTTGGGATATCTGAAAAAATAAAGAAAATGCTCGAAACTAAAAGGTCGTTTAATCGTATCGCTTTGTACACCTATTTGCTATCTCATGACTAGTCGATCGTCATTCTGGTCGGCAGCTGCGGCTGTTTGACGTCGTGCATGGAATAACTAGCTTGGTCCTTGTCGATCTCCTCCCGAGGGGCGTTGAGGTGCTGCTTTAAACCGGCACCGAAGTTGAACATGCAGACCAGAGCGTTGACGATTGTCAGAATGATTAGGACAATAGTAAGTACTGCAAACGTCGTCAAGGATTTGCGAACGGGTAGGTAGTACTTGTATTCGTAAGGATCGAAGATTCGCTCAAGCTTGTAGATGAAATACGTAAGACCGCCGAGATAGAGGACTATGATAATTATCATGCCTATCTTCCATTCCCGTCGCGTAAACAAGGCCGCGCAGAGGAGAATGGCGATGGTGATAGGGATGGCGGCAGCGGTTAGACCGAATTCGGTAGATGTCTTGCCTCCGACCACGACTAGGAACTGGATAGTGAAACCGACAAAGAAAAAGAAATCGAATTTCAGAAGGGCAATGTAGACCTGCCAAACATGATTAGTCGTGTATAGGGGCGATATTACATGTGACAAACCTGGTAGTGCAGGAATCGCTTCTTCATCCTGTAGTCGGCTCCTATATGCTTCAGGATATCCCAGGCGAATTCCTGGTAAAGCTTCCAAGCAATGAAACTCAGACCAACACTGGCGAGGGCGATGATGCACGGCATGGCAATGAGGACACCTTGGACTTCCTCCCACACGTCGAGGTCGTCGAAAGCGTTATAATTATTTAGTCTGACGATGGCCACACGGATCTGGTCGATTTGGAGGGCGCTGTAGATGAGAAGAGCAAGGTTGGCGACGCAGAGACCGATGACTTGAATGGTGTTCTTCATGCGTAGTGCATCCCAAGCTAACACTACATCGTACAGGAAGCCAAGGATTAGTAGGCCGAGGAAGGTTGGGATGGTTCTTATTTGAGCTAAGCCATCTTCCATATTTTCGGCTGAACCCCAGTCTGCTACAGTATTCATGTGTCTAAGGCCAGTTTGAAACTGGGCAAAGGCGTATCTGAAAAGGGGAAATCAATTAGTTTGACTGGGAGAGGTATTCGGCGATAATAACTTACGCCTCGAAGACGATTACAATGACGGCTTGTATAGCAGCGATAAGGAAGAATAGGCGCGGCCATTTCCTAGTGAATATCTCGCCAGTAGATTTCGCTAGGCTGCTAGCCCGATTACTCTTGTTCGCGGCCATCTTGGTATCGCGACGGCCGACGTACTGCTGTGGATATTGCGCTTGCGAGTACTGTGCGTATTCTTGCTCTGGAGAATGAAATGATTGATTAGAGGGGATTTGCCGGAAGCCCGCTGAATCCCCAGCCAAAAAGGACGGAGATGTGTGTCCGAACGCCAGATTGTTGGTACTGGACTCCTCTGAAAATGAGGAGTCGAACAGATAGCGAGCGCGAATAGAGGATGGAAACGATCGAGAAGCTTATTGGCGAAGTTATTATTATGACTCGGTCGATGACTTCAATTCGTTTAACCGTTGACCTGTTATCCTCTAGTTTTTTTTTTCCCTTCTCCCACTGCTTCAAGCAATGCGAATAAGAGCCTGGCGGGGCTGGGCACCTGAATAATAATGAAAAGGGAACAAAGGAGTTAGTTGACGACAAAACAATCTTGACGTTAGTAGAGGCTATCAACGCCAATCTACGAAAACGTCGCGATGTATTGTGGATGATAAAAAACAATCGATGGCGAGGTTTTAATTATTGATTGCGAAGTCGAGAGAAGTTTGGACGTGCTGGACTGCCTGAAACAGATTGATGAGTTTGATCCGTGACGAGGGTGAATGAAGGCAGGGGGGTTGTATTCGGTTCTGTCCGCGGCCTAGACTGGCAGTCCAATTTGCTTGGCGGGCTCTAATGTGTCTTGAGTATGCGCGCCAAAAAGGAATCTCTTGGGGATTATTCGGTGCTTCTTGTCACAGTTAATCTCGAAGGATCGGCTCCTGATTATTCGACGAGTCGAAGTCGAAGACAGGGTCTCAGCGAGCGGTAAAAAGAAAGAAGAAAAAAAGAGGCCAAGTTAGTTACTGTAGGTGCTTCGCATCGTGGCTTGATGGGTTGCAACTAAGAGTTCGGTCGCTTTGCTGCTTTGAAGAACGAGGCGCAGTTGGAGACCAACACGGAAAATAGGGATAACGGGGGGAATCCGTGTGAACTAAGCGAGGGAATAGTCTCTGTAGGAAATGCGACGATACCGTTTGTGTTGTTTTTTTGTCTGATATGTCTAGTAGTGAAAGGGATGAGAAATTGAATATGAACGGTTATTCGGATTGAATGTCAGATGTTCTGCTGACGGGTGGACGGGGGGGACGCGGATCAACAGCTGTAATTCAATCCGAATTTCAAATGGGCTGTGCTGACATTTGACTCGACATTTGGAGCTGGGGCTGTTTTTTTACGGGGATGAGCCATGCGCTAGTGGTGGGGATGCTGGGATAGTAGGACTTTTTCGGTAACTTCTGTTAGTGACATTTGTTAGTAAATTTGCTACATGCTTAGTGTCATGCTAGCGAAGACTACTTTTAGAGATTTCCATTCTTGATGTCGGGAAAGGGCATCTCGACCACCTTTCTCCCCTACCTTCAGTACCCAGGTACCTTTACTACGAAAATACGTACATGTATGTATGCAAATGCTACTACTAATGCATCACTTATAATGAAGGTTACGTATATCTAATGCTTAAACTATAGTATCTCTATCAGTTGGTGCTTCATTGGATACCTGTACGTATACAAATAAAATCCCTTGGTATTCGTAGTCCATGTCCAGTCCTAGTTATTCGAGAACGCCTCGACTTCGTATTTATGAGTCTGTGTAACTACCAAGACTACTTGGCTGAACTGTGGCATTCAGGTGTAGGTATATATTCTGTCCTATTCACTTTAACGCTTGTACTGTAAAGTTAATCAGGTTGATCGGGAGTTTCTTCTTCGAATGAGCCTTACACGCAATACGGAATTGGTTTATTTGTATGCATGTACAACGTAATACATTGCGTTCCCATCTACCAAACCCTGTGAGGACCCTTATGCAGCAAGTTATTTACGAACCGCTGTTATCTCAGATGCACAGGGACTTTCAGCCTAGCGGAGTCCCGTTCGCGAAATAATCCATATAATCCATGGAAATATGAGGTGGACAGGGTAGCGCAATGCCAAGATGGCTCAGCCCCTTGGATGGTCAATGTTGATCACCAAGCTACCTAACATATCCATCCTCTTGTGTAAGTTATAGGCTATTACGATTGTTATGAAAGCTTTTCAATAGTTGCTATGTGAATGTTATTTGATAACTCTTATTTGTTTGCAACGCAACTTCTCTTATTTAAATGTCGGAGTGGATAGGTTGTAAGGAGAAACTCTAGTATAATTGACTAATAAACTCTGAAACGAACCTCCACATTCACAATTCGGCCTTTTGCATTCCCTCGTGTTTGTTACGTACCTACTTACCTAATCCTTGTTAGAGCCCTTTTACAGGTTTATCACACGGAATTCCATTAGATGCATTAGATGATGCATTAGATGGAAGTTGAAAGTTGGAACTCAGCCTCGGACGATCTGCACTGCCACGGGCTACCTCCAATTAGGTAATCAATTAGCGGAGGCCCCACGCTGCTGGCAAACGCGCATTAGCGCATCAACGCATCAACGCAACTACGTCAAAAAATACTAGACACGCGATTCGGCGTCAACGCAAAAAATCTACTTACTACTTGCTACTTACCACCATACTTACCTTACAACCCGTAGCGCCTTAATACCACCCGATATGATGGAAATTGACGAGGAGGACGTCTTACGCGCAATCGCGAACGGTGGTTCGATTGACTTGTAAGCATACACTCACTCGCTATGGCTTTCGATTCACTTTCGTGGCAGGGTTTCTTACTATTAGGAACAGTTCAATATGGCCAGCTCTATTATCTGGAATAGTGGCGCGAATCGAAAAGGTCGGTGCCTATTATATGTCAATATTATATGTTAACTTTAGGCGATCAAGTATTAAACTCTGCAAGTAGATCACACATCATGAATTCCCAATACCTAACCTGCCATCCACCGCGGTTGCTACTACTGCTATTCCTTCTTCGATACCACATCCGCCTTTAGCTCGACGTTACTCAGAACCCACAGAGACCTTCCTGTCGCCACTACCGTCGTCACCTTTAGAGCCGACGAGCTCAGCGTCTTCTCAAGATAATAAAGAAAATACACCCATTGCGCCGCGAGTAAACCCGCCGTCCACATCAGCTCCTGCTGCTTCCGCAAGCTTTCCTCCCGGCACGCTACCACCACAAATCATCTCTATGCTTACCGAGATAACCTCTACTTTAAAATCTACATTCCCCAAGTATCCTCCACATACTTTACAACGCTTATCAGAGCTTGTCCTAGCACCTAGAAATCATTACCGCACATTACCAACTTATCTCCATGCCCTCGATAGAGTCGTCCATGTGACTTCGGGTCTTAACATTTATCCACTCCCTCCGGCCGTGCCGGATATGAAAACAGCATCGCTACTAACGAATGGAATATCCGATACCATAGCCTCGCCGTCACCCTTCGCCGCACCCGGCAGTGACGAAGCTCTAGGCGGCGCACTCTTGACTCCTATCCCCTGGCTCCAGCCAAACCAGCACGGAATCGGTGGGCCCTCGCAATCCTCGCTAGGAACACCGGGAACAAGAAGTCCTAACAGCCAAAATAGCGGGGCGGTCGGCCCAATAGGTGGTGATCTCGAAGGCGAGGTGCGTACGGAAAGCACCGAGACCATCGATGGTCCCAATGGTGTTGGTAGTATCGAGACGGTATCAGTGTCGGTGAATGGAATCCCCTCAATGGGAGCCCGTGGCATAGGCGTTACTCAAGGCGAATTGCTTAGGCAGGAACAACGTGCCGGCGTGGTACCCGTCAGCCAGCTTGTGCCTAGCCATCACGTACACGGCGGGAATCCGCACGCCCAGGTTCACCGGCGGGCGTCCACCTCCCCGAGCACCGAATCCCCTCAAAATGCGGCGACGCCGACTTCTTCATCCGGCAGTCCCGAGGCTGAAAGGAAGTCCCAGTCTCCTCCAAATGTAGATACTCCCACTTCTAGTAGCAGTACTGCCGCTCCTACCGTAGACGCCGACGCCCCTCTAGGCTCGGTTGTTGGCACGGACGAGGAGAAGCCGCACGCGCGCGGACCCGAGGAAATTGGGCCAGAGGACATGGGCCCGCAGCACGGCAACGCGAGTCTCGGGAGCACTACGATCGGCAGTCCAGGCGGTGTTGAGATGCAAGGCATTGACGTCGAAGCAGCGGTTGGTCGGAAAGCGGTAGGGGGCCGTGGAAGTAGCAAGAGTCCTCCGAAGACGGGCGCGGCGGGCGACAAGATGGACGTCGAGACATCGGAAAGCGAAGCTAGCGATCGAGAAACGAAGCGCGAGGCAGAGGACGAGCCGGAGGGCGCTGCGGGAGCGAAGAAACTAAAAGAGGATAAGGAACTTGCGCCTCAGACTACTGGAGAAGGACAGGTCGAGGCCGAGGCCGAGGCTATGGATACTTCTCCCGACGACAAGGGGGAAGCGAAAGGGGTGCAGGGGAGCGTCTAGGACAGGCTTCCTAATCTCCGCAGATGGCTGTAGTTGTTTGTTACGAAAGCGAGGAGAGAGAGCAAAGAGGGACTGTCCGGTCGCTGGTCGCGCGTAAGATAAGGACAGTTATTCCCAGGTCGAATTTGGTTGGAACTGGCACAGGAGAAAGGAAAGGGGTATACTGTATTTTTTTTATTCTCGTTCGGTCTTGGGATTTTCGGAACTTGTGACTTGATACCAGACGGAGGTGGATTATGGACTGTCGGAGACGGCAGTATAGCCATTTTACTGCTGTGACGTAGGATACTTTGCGTGAATGGACGACGCGTCGATTCAGCTCTGGCCTGCATTTATACGCCGTGGATTATTTCATGGAATGTTCACTGCACGGGCATTGGTAACCAGGGGATATGATTGTGCGTCGTACATCGTGATATTATTACGTAGGCTACCTAGCTCCGTACACGTATGAAATGCTCGTTCAAATCCATGCCGAGTGCCGAAGCTTCTCTTGGTGAAGCTGGTTAGAGTATGATACATGATTCCGTAGTCTGTTATCAGATCTCAGTCCTTTCGCATAACGCCAGCAAATTTTCAGCGCAAGTCAAGTCCGAAGCGCCAACATCAAGCATCTAGCGGAATATAGTAAACGGCCATCTTTTAACCAAGTATTGAGTTATTAAACATAAGCACTTCCTCCCTTAAAGAACGGTAGAAATGCTCTCGCGCTCAATGACGCTGTTCTGCTTGTCATCACGCTTCACGCGGTAAAAGTAGTCGCAGAAATCGGAGCAGCGCATGTGTCGGAGGAATTCCTCGTCGTGTGTGATGACGATGAGCTGGAAGTTGGCCTGCGCCTTCCGCGCCTTGATGATGGAATGCAAACTCTCCGCTAAGCTTCGAATATTATCGCGGTCGAGGTTGGTCGTAGGCTCATCAAGCGCGATCAGTCCGCAGCCGATACCGAACGATTCGGCTAATGCTAAGCGGATGATGATACTTGCTAGTACTTTTTGTCCAGCCGAACATCTTCCTCGCATGTCCATCTCGGTGTCCTGCTTCACCATGCAAACTCGGTAGTTGTATGAGCTGCGGCCCGTCGTGACCTCGCTGTCCGACTTGATTAGGATTGTATCTATGTCGGTGCCCTGGTATGTGCTCTGCCACAGCTCGCCTGCAATCCGGTTCACTTCCTCCATCTTGAGTGCGTGGTATCGCATAATGGCATTGCTGAGCGCTGTACCATACTTGCCTAGATCCTCTATCACTGCCTTGGTCGTCTCCACCTTGATATGTGTCTCACGATACTTGTCATTTGCCATTTTATACTCGGTTTCCCACTCGTCTATTAGACGCCCCAACTCACCATCCTTGCTCATCATTGTTCCCTTTATAGAACTTATATTCGCGTTCAGCATATGGCTTCGTGATTCCCAGTGTTTAGCCTCGGCGTCGAGCCGTTCGTAATCCTCGTTAGCATTACGAGACTCGAGCTCTTCGATCTCTCGTTTGAATTTTTCGATGTCTCGAAGAGTTTTACGGTAGGTGAGATTGTCCATGATATTCTTCTTTCTCAACTCACTATTGCTGACCTCCTCCTTGATTTTATTAGTTCGTGCTGTTAAGTCGTTCATGTCCTTCTCGATGCGCTTAATGACATTATCGAGCGACTGAATTTGTCGCTCATTAGCGGCGAGAAGCGCTGGACCGCCGCGATCCAGATAGTCTTGTATATCGTTGTTAACCAACTTGAGCTTATTCACTGATGTCGCAAGCCCGTCACGCTCATCAGCAGCTTTCTTCTCTTTCGCACGTCCCCTCTGTTGCGTATCATCTCGGATAGCCTTGGCCTTGGAAATCTCGGGCTCGATTAGCCCTATTTCTTTATCTGCTTCTTGGATAACTTCTTTTTGCTTGTTCATATCGTCCTTCTGAGCTTGAATCTGGTCTTGGAAGTATTTCTTCCTCTCAAGCTGCCGACTAGCGTCGCTGATCCTATTGCTTAGTCGACTCCGTTCAAGTTCAAGAGAGCTTATTAGATCCCGCATGCGCTGTCTGTCACCTGATAGCTGCGAACAATTGTGCTTTACCACTTTCATCTGCTCGGCGCATTTGTCTTGCATTTCATGGATCTCGTGGGTGCTTCGAACCGCACCGCTAGACTGCTGTTGAGACATAATACTCTCCACCTGAGCTTCAGCTTCTTCGATCTCTCTCTGTGTCTGAGAGATGTTATGTACCGTTTTCCTCATTGACTCGAGGTCTTGCTTTTCCTCTAGTCTTCCTCGGACGATCTCGTCCATCTCCTCAACGCTTTGCACCAAGACCTCTTCTCTTTCTTTAGCTACTTGGATCTCTCTATCAGTATCGCCTTTTTCTGACATTAGTCTAGCGTATGTTTCACTTTGAGGACGAACAGCTCGAAGATTTCCTAATAATTCTTCACACTCAGCCAGCTCGGTTTGCATCTCCTCTTTCTTAGTTTCCCCGAGCGCTTCTTTGATTTTCTTAACCAAGCGCGACTTCTCACTCACGTCGACAAAGGTGCGATCGCAGAGCTTACACCTATTGTGTTTATTTAACACTTTCTGGCATTCTAGATAGTAGTCCTTAAAGTGTTCGAAGAGGGCTAGATCCTTTTCCAACGTAAGGATCTCTTCCTCGAGACGCTCGATCTCTTGAGGTAACTTATCAACGCTCGGTTCGGACGTAGAATCTGCTGCCTTGAGCGCATTAAGTACCGCTAACTTGCATCGCTCCATCTCTTCATTATGCTTCCTGGCCGTCGCTTGTGAACTAGAAAGTGTATACTGCACTTGCTTAAGTTGCTGGACAGTGTCGTCGCGCTTTCGGACTGATTCGTCATAGGCCTGTGTCTTCAGCTGTAGAGCATTCTGAAACTCGCGACTAATGGTTGAAGGCTCCCACGAGCCGCTGACCATGCCAGATATCTTGTCGCTCCAGGTACTAGTAAGAGTATCTAATTTCCGCTTCTTGTCAGCCAACTCCATCTTGCGAACATCTAATTGCGCTCGGTCAGAAAGGAGCTTGGTAGATTCCATGAGTTCGAGCTTAAGTTTATTATTCTCAGCCTCGAGTTGTTGCAATTTGCTCTCTTCCTGCTGCAATCTCGTATCGAAGTCAGCCTTCTGCAATTCCTGAGTAGCCTGTCCGAGCCGTTGCTCTACATCTTTGAAAGATGCGTCAAGTAACGCCTTGCTGCCTTCATCAACCTCCACCGAGCTGAGGTCTTTTTGGAGGGCCGCAATTCGTTTCTCTATCTTGCCAATTGCTTGCCTCGCAAAAACGCGGTTTTGCGTATGGCGAGCCTTCTGATTGTCCAAGTCGCCAATGGCGGCCCTCTTTTTTTCGAGCTCATCCGCATTTTCAGACTGCAGACTCTCGAATTCTCGCTTCTTGTCTGCTAGGAGAGTTTGAATTCGCTCCTGAAATGCCTGGACTTTGCGGTCGTCCAGATCTCCATCGAACCCACGAATACTATGCGATTGGGCTGCTTGATGGATGTGCTCGATCCGCAAAGCAAGCTGGCGTTCGTACTTGGCTTTGTCGGATTGGTGCATACCCTGTTCTGCGAGTTTCTCCTTTATCTCATCGCCGGTCTTCGAGTGATCCTTCTGGTACTGCCGGAATTGCTCGATGTTCTCTTTATGTTCCTGTTCAAGCCTAGTAACCCGATCTTCGTACTGTGCTAGAGTGTCCTGCAACCAGTCGTCGGGCTCGTCCATCTCAGTCATTCTGGATTTCGTCTCCTCTAATTTCTGTTGAAGGTAGCCAAGTTCTCGCTGATTGCTCTTCAAATCGTTCACGATATTCAGAAAGCTGTTCGCCTCCCGATGCATCTCGACAGCATTCTGATCAGCCTCGTTCTTCTCCTTCTCCATCTGTTCCCATTCCTTCCGTAGCCGCTCTATTTCTTGGAATAGTTCCTGAGATCGCTTTTCACATCTGTCAGCCTTCTCCTTGTTGGCTTTGTCTTGGCCTTCCATGATCTTATATTTTTGTAGATCCTCCCCTTGTTTCTTTTTTAGCAGTTTAAGGTTGTCGATTGCTTTGGTATATTTCATGGCCTCGAAAATTTCATCGAATCGTTTTTTGAGAGCTGAAGGTTCACTCATAGGCCATAACGATTCGTCTTGATGGCAGAATATCACGGCGTCGAGGATAGCTGGGGCGACACCTAGACTGGTAGGAACGGCGGTGTCGAGGTTAATTACTCTAGAAGAGGTTGAGTTCTTTTCACCTCCGTGGTCGGTGAGGAGGGTACCCTCTAGGGTTTTCTGGGACCTCGTGGTCTTCTTCACGGTGAGCTGTAGACTACGAGTGACCACATAAGTAGTATCAGGAGGAACCTTGAACTTGAGCTTGACCTGCGCCAAAACCTCTCGTTCTCCGCATAGCTTAGGATCGTGAATGAAAGCACCTCCCTTGCTGTTGGGAGGAAGCTCGCCAGTGGTGGCATATTTAAGACACTCGATTATGGTAGTTTTACCTGAGCCATTATACCCCACGATGAGAGTAAGAGGGGTGTTGAACTGGATAGTCTCTCGAGTGAGATGACTGAAGGACCGAACCCCCGAGATGGACAGCTTGTCTATCTTAGACATCGTGACAGATCAAAGTCCCGAGTTTTCCGGACTACAAAGCGGTCGTCCCATGCTATGAAACTAATATTATCTAGTAGTCGTAGTCCAGAGAGCTTCGCTAATTAATGAGAATTCTTGAGATGCGTATTTCTTTAGTTGGTTTTTTACGTGGTGGCAATGGTTTATGAAGTTGCTTATGATTAATTTTTAATCGGACGCGTCGGGGTATAATTTTTGGAGGGGGACGCGCCTTAAGAATTGTACGTAAGTTGAGCTAGTTGAGTACTAATGTATATCTGGTACTAAGTTAGTACCTGCAGCAGCCTAAACTTAATTGCCTCTTAGGCCATTGCATAGAAAGCAGGAGCAGGCAAATTCAATCCTAGATCTGCCCTCCCGGTGTAGTTCCACTTTATGTATTGTACAACAACGTACCCTGGTAAACGTAATAGACATACTTAAACAGATGTAACAGGAGTGCAGCTTCATTGGCGAGTGTTTAATGGCATACCTAAAAACCAACATTAAATGTAAGAAAGAACTGCATTATGTAGTATACTCTTATTTTCCCATCTAAACCTACCTACATACAGCATAAAACAGAAATTCCCAATCCCCGGCATTGTGCAGAAATAAGCAAGATGCTTACATGGTAAGGTAGTACATGTAAGAAGATATATGTATGTATCAACAACCTAGGTTAGCGATCGTCCGACCTATGGGTCTTTTTCTCAGATCGCCTTGGCTTCCTGACGTATTGTGAATGGGTATGTACGTAAAGAGCTACCGCCGTAGTACACTATAAGGTAGTAGCAGTAGTAGTAGCTTCCAGGTTAGTAACGTCCATAAGGTGATGTACCTACCTCCTAATGCACATATAGCTCTATGGAGTAATTGACCTTCCGTACAAGTACAAGTACAATTCTAGGTCATACGGTAATCCATTTTGTTAATCGAGAAAGTGAAATCCCATCCCGTTTTCTTCGATATGCCCCTGCCACCTTTATCAATCCCTCATGTTATTATTGCTGCTACCCCAGCTTAACATCTATCTACCTATACTTCTGTAGAGGTAGGTATGCTTTAACATATGCTTGAAAGTTACCTACCTACCTACCTACCATTAACCTATAATCTTCCCATCTTTTGCCTGGCTCTTCCATATCCAATTCTACATATACCTATCCACCACCACATCGGGATACCCGGTTCAGAGTTGTGTGGATTCCCTCACTTTTTTTTTAAAAAAAAAATCTTCTATCCTCTTCGACCGTCCTAAATCATAGTTCATCGAATTCGACTAAACCGATCTGCCCCTCCCATTCGTTCTTTTATTGTTCGAGTGCGATCGACCAGATGCTCTTGCTGCAGAGACCCGAGTGCTCTCCATTCCCCAGTATCAAGACACACTACTGCTGCGTCGCATTTAACTACGATTCAGATTCAAGCAGCCGCCGCCGTCGCCGCCACGACCCACTATCACTATCATGGACCACGGACCACCACCAAACCCTAACGACTTATTTGAGTTTACCGCGCCGGTTACATTGAACCCGGTGAGTACTAACGGCAGTATGCTCTCATGTCTCAGCCGTGGCGAATGCCGCTAGTCTTAAACTTTGTGCCCTAGCCCTACTAATAATGAGCTTTATACATCAGATGACAGCCGCCGACCAGAACGAAATGATGGCGCTCTACGATAGCTCCATGTTTACAAGCTTCGACGGCTTGCCAATGAGTATTGATGGCCTTAATGATATGACTGGTGTTCCGCCGCAACCATATCCACCAGTTTCCGCTGCGCCAAACCCGCAGGCCGCGCTTATCCATAATGACGCTATGCAATTTGCATCAAATACCGGTGATAGCGCAGTCCCGCCAGCGCCGAGTACGGGTATGGCTCCGAGTTTCCCTACCCCCGCGCAGCCTACCCTACAGGGAGGGAGTACTTTGACCGAATTCACCAAGAGGAGGAATTGGCCCGCAAAAGTTGTGGAGGAGCTCAAGGACTTCTTGCAGATACTGGACGCTCACGGTAGAATTAAATATGCGTCACCAAGCGTCACGTCCTTGACTGGTTATGAATCGGAGGAGCTAATTGACCGGTTCATTAAGGATCTAATTCATCCAGACGACCTTGGGACCTTTACCTCGGATATGAACGAATCTATAGCCACCGGGAACCCGCTGCGCATGTTCTATCGTCTTAAAAAGAAAGATGGCAGCTATGCCATATTCGAGTCTGTCGGTCATGCACATATCGCCGCAGCTAAATTCGCGCCAAACCCGGAAAATCAGTCACCCTTCTGCCAGTCGGTATTTATGATGTCACGGCCGTATCCCACCAAGAATGCCTCCCTGTTAGACTCATTCCTAGAACACAAGATCGAAAATGAGCGACTAAGACGCCGAATCGCGGAGCTTCGAAGGGAAGAGGAGGAAGAGGAGGCATCTCAGCAAAGCTGGTTCGCGAGCCAAGAGGGCCGATCAGATATCGCCGCATCAGAGGATACGATGATGACATCCTCTCAGAGTCCTGCTTTGTTCACCCACACAAGTGTAGATTCCCAAGCTATGCCGCCTCCAGAAAGACCAACGCCGCTCAATATAGCATTAACAAGGGAGAATCTCGAAGGGGTGACAGCAGGAAACCGGCCAGATTCTATTAGGGATAAGATGGCAAGATATGAGGGCGCGTCACATACCGACACTATCGAGATGCTGACTGGTTTGAGATATGTCGAAGGGGAACGAAGTCGTGGTATCACTACCGGTAATTCTAGTCCGACCCTGATCAAGGGCGACGTTGGCATTGCAATACCGATCGATAGAGACCCCAGAACAGGAGAAAAAAAGAAGAAACTTAAAGTCGCAGAAGAATATGTCTGTACTGACTGTGGTGCGTATAACAAATCGCGTGTAAGCCGCACGGATCATCGTTCTAACATGGCTCAGGAACACTTGATTCCCCAGAATGGAGAAAAGGCCCTCAAGGGCCTAAGACTCTTTGCAACGCTTGCGGCCTTCGATGGGCGAAGAAGGAGAAGAAGAAGAATGCTAGCAGTGGAGGTAATATGGGCAATTCCGGTCCTGGGCATCTTCCTATGCCTATCATGGAGCAGCAGTGAGGGTCTCTTGAGGTTTAATGGTTTTCGTCCCGAGTGAACCGATAATATAACCCGAGGTGTATGGCGTATGGGTATTTCCTAAGGTATATGATAGTGCTTTACGCACAGCGGGCATTTCAAATTGGTCGGGCTATGGGCACGGAGTCGGAATAAAATCACGGTGTGCTGAGCTTTTACGAACGAGCTTATTACACGACATTGTCATTTCTCCTTTTTTTTTTCTTCGTTCTTTTCTTCGAGATACCTGGGAACGAATATGGTTCGGGCTGTACGATTCACGGGGATATCTCACAGGCAACAAAATGGGTGGCTATGGACTACTTAGATGTATACGGTATATCATGAGACAAGGAAATAAGAATGCTAGTACGAGGTCTTATCTCCTTTTTTTTTTTTTTTTTCTTTCCTAATTTGAGGCTGGCATGTTGAAGCAACGCTGTAATGAGAGCTTCTAGCGACCTTTGTTCCCTTTCAATTGTGGCAAAGCTTTCTATCTACAACACTATTCAGACCCTTTATCTACACCCTTGACCCTCTAGCATTCAGACGAGATAGCTTTTATTCTCTATAGTGAGCTCCATTCCTGCGGGAATTTTAACGCGATAGTGTATGTAACATAGGTATTCTTACGTACCGAGCGCCATTTTTGACGACGCCGACCTCGCCATCGTCTCTTCGAGCGTCCACTCATTGAGTTGCGGCGCAAATCCCGTAGCGTAGTAGCTACAACGGCGGCAATAGGGGCTCGCGGCAAATGCTCGACGACAGGGAATGCAACAAGCGGTTATGTTTTATATATTCTACGTAGGGTACGCTCTGTTGGTTGGTGGGCTAATAAATACTTTCATTTGTTGGTCTAGACCGTCCGCCTGGAAGGGTCCATATTACGGGGTCTTATATGGTTACACGATCTCGATCGCATGTATCGAGCTTTCGCTCAGTAAGTCAATGATCGGCGCTCTTAGGAGGTCAACTCCATATGGAATTTCGTTGGATTTTTTTTGCAGAACTATAGTTCAACTAGATACAACCAACTTAAGCTGCGCTTTATTTCATAAAATCATGATGTGAAATATATCTCAAATGTGCGGGCTAGCAATGCAAGCGTCCCGTTGTAGGATGCTCGCGGGACGGGACCTATTTTGAGAGGAACTTGGATGCAAAACCGATGATGCCTGATGATCCCGAGGACTCCGCCTTGCCGCCTCCTTGGCTCTTCAGGTACATCTTTAAGGCCATCTCGCCAGCTTTCATCACGGCGGACTCCTTGCTACTATCACTAGAGACCTTGCCCTGAGAAGCCTTCTGGTCGAAGAGCTGCAGATGAGGTTTTTAGCACGGTATCTACAGTGCAAAAAAGCAATATCTTAGGAGTACGTACCTTGCTTGCTTCAGCCATGGCGAGACCTACGAAAGCACTCTGGCTGCTACTCTCCTGCGCATCCGTTAGCTCTTTGTTTAGTAGCACAGCGTTTTGCAAGCGGGGTTTTGGTCGTACATGGGCACTCTCGCTCTGACCACTGGTAAACAGTTTAAGAGCTTGCATGGCGGCGGCGGAGCCTAAGCTCTTATCGTCCGCGTCGTCATCGTCATCGTCGCGCTCGAAAAAGCGCTTGTGCTGCTTCACGGCGTCATCCTCGTCTACGTCTTCTTCGGCGAGGGCCTGCTTCTTCTGGGTCAGAGCACCTAGTAAGGTGGTAAACAGGTCTTTGTCGCCGGAGCTCCCCGCCTGTCGGCTCGCGTGCTCAGCCGCTCCGCGGAAGTCATCGTCGTCAGAGCGAGGATAGCCACCACCGGCAGGATATGCGCCACCGTGCGTTACTAGAGGCTCGTCGTTAGAAAAGTATTCTATACGTATGAAGTTGATTCGTAGTTAAGGCTCACCGTTGCCGCCGATATCTGCAGTTACATTGGAGTGGTTAGCTGCTGATTTGACCCTGAGGATCATACGCATGCGGGGCAGGCATATCGCCAAGCTTACCTTGCTGTCTCTCCCCGCTCATGTTGGATGTCTAGGTATCAGGGTATCTAAGCCGAGGCAAGGTTAAAAGTAACGAATGTTAGGGGGGTGTTTAGGTAAAAGGCGACCTGTAAATTCGGGACGATGAAGAATCGAGGAGAGTAAAAAGCAATAATAAGGGGGATTATGTATTTTCTAGGTTAGAGGCGCATTAGCTAAAAGGGACAAAACGTTTATCTACACTAGTCTCAGACCGAGACACCTGCGTCACAACTATAACGACCTAAGCTCAGCACCATCCAATCCATTGGACGATGACGTGTGCGGGGTATTCGCACTACGTTTAGGATTGTGCTGGGCATTTATTGCCTGGGGGAAAGGGGGGGCCAGTAGCAAGTATGTAATACATAGCGAGTCATTTAACAGGAATATACATCTAAGCTGAGTATACGCGTAGTTAATCAGAATTGAAAGTATGCGTTACGCTAATGGACTAACACTGATATGGGACTAACTCACTCTTAATAAATGCATTTGAATATAAGTAGCTACATATGCTCAATTATTAAGAAACAAGGATATCTCCGTCTTGAAACTCCCAAGAGATATTTCCACTCTTCACTTTTCAACCATCCGCTCCAGCATATCATAATCAACATGATCAATAAACTCGACTGATACGGCAAGGTTCTCCAAAGGTACGTCAATACGAGACTGCCCAGCAATTAAAGTCGCGTGTTTCCTCTATATCTACTATGCATGTACTTGAATTGGAGACGGTAGTAAATTACTGCCATTAGGTATTCAGCCCCCGATTCCCCCTCCTTTTCCTCAAGTACGTGACTCTGGAGCTTGTGATCTGGAGCTTTCTCAGCTGCATGCAGTCGGCTTTCAGATCTCCCCCAGCCCAATCACGTATATATATCACACAACTCGCATTAGAATGGCTGGACGCAGCATATGCAAATGGTCCAAGGTGGCTTGACTATTGGTTTCAGTCCTCTTTTCCATTACCTGGTTACCTACCCTCACTGCCTCATAAGCTAAAAGTGCATAGGTACTGTCATTTCTCATATTCCCTATTTAGAGCACGCACGCACCCCGAGATATTCACCGCCTCGTATCAACTGTCATCGTACAGCACGTGGACCATCGCGTCAATGAGGGCAATTCTAACAATACCGAGTGGTATTAGTATCCAGAGTGACTTCGTGGAATACTAGAGTACCCTCACCCCTTGCGACTTGGTATGTACAGTACCTTTGATATGTAAAACTTCGCGGGCGAGCCAATTATACCTACCTACTATTATATCTGTCTACCTATGAACCATGTACCAACACCAGATTACCTACCTAATATTACGAGTTGCAGTCTACAACCAAAACCAGTGAATAGGAGGTCAAACATATTATTTGCTACCATTGTTCCTTTAGCAAGACAAGTAGAAGAATCGAACATCTGACTTCACGTGAGGATGCCTACGATAAGGTCAATCTCTCCTATAATAGAGCTGCCGGCGTGACGACATCAGTTCATTAAGAGGGTAACAGCGAAGTCCAAAAATAGTTCTCGGCTAGCATTCTGGCATTTCGAGTTACCATTTCGAGAACCATTTGACCCCTTTTATTACTACTTGATCAAATTTTAATATACCCGATGTATCGTCCACCACGTTTCCTTGTTATCATTCCATGTAATTCTCCGAAACGTCGCATATCTAAGAACTATGTGTTAGACCTCTTGGGTTACTGAAATATCTACGACAAAGAGCTCGTAGCTATATCAGTAATCCCCCACGCAAAAAGCTGGGTTGATTTCCCACACCTTGCTCTCATCTTTACAACCATGCAGGGAGACGTGGGATGTGTCGATGTGCTCATTATCGGAGCGGGCCCCGTAGGCCTCATCACGGCATTCCAGCTTGCCAAGTTCGGCGGCGTCTCCGTCCGAATCGTCGAGAAACATGTCAAGTCTGATCAAGATGCGTACGGCCGTGCTATTACGCTCTTCCCTCGAACAACAGAGATGCTTGACCAGCTAGGCCTTGCTGATGAGCTGCTGTCAAGCTGTTTCGCCTGTCGTGATACGGTCACTTACAATGCTCAGGGTGAAGAGGTCGACGGTCGTGGGTGGAGTTTCATGAAACACATGCATGATACAGCGTTCGATTTCGCCCTTGTCCTGAGACAAAAGTTCCAGGAAGAGATATTTCGAAACGCATTGAAGCAGCACGATGTGCACGTAACAGCGCCGATCGAGTTAATAACCGCTTCGGTTGATAGGAGTATCCCCGTTGGAGGCCATAAGGTAACAGCAGTTCTTCTTAACCGCCAAGATGGAGCCTACGAAATTGTGAAATGCAAATACTTGATTGGTTGTGATGGAGGACGCTCATCTGTCCGGCGCATCTTCAACATCGCTTTCGAAGGTTCTATTAGTGAAGATCAATGGGTGAGGATAGATGGTCAGGTCCAAACTGACTTGCCTAAACCTCGCTCCTACTGCTCAATCGAATCCCCAACACATGGAAACGTGCTCTGGGCCGCCTTGGATCATGGAGCTACGAGAATTGGCTATGCGTTTACTGATGATCGGGCTAACGCATATCAAGAGTTCGACGAGGCCGCTGCTGTTAAGGAAGCTATTGCCGCAGTTAAACCCTTTAGCCTTGAGTTTGAGCGTGTCGATTGGTGGACAATCTACACAGTAGGACAGCGCATAGCCGAATCTTTCTTCGTCAAAGGCTGTATATTTCTTGCCGGAGATGCTTGTCACACCCACTCATCAGCCGCAGCGCAAGGAATGAACGCCGGTATCCACGATGCTGTGAATCTCGCCTGGAAACTAAGTCTTGTCCTCCGCGGATGTGCAAGACCTGAGATCCTCGAGACATATCATACGGAACGGTTCGTGAATATATCAAAACTTATCGAGTACGACAGAGATATTAGCCAGCTCATGTCAAATCACCTACCTGAGAAATGGCAAGGTGATCCAGATGCCGACGTCAATGTGGTTCTGGCGCAGGTCTTAGAAGAGATTGGAACTTTTACCGATGGACTTGGCATCTCATATGAGGTTCAACAAGACAACCCCTTAAATGTGGAGGGTTCATTTATCAGTGCGTTCCCACGAGTTAAGCCAGGAATGAGAGGCCCGGATATTACACTCCTGCGCCCGGGAACACTCGAGTCGACAAGGTTAATCCGTGAGCTACCTAATACCGCAAACTTCAACATCTTAATTTTCACGAGGAATCAAATACCCGCTATCCTAAAGGTAGTGTACGACGATATAACACGCTCGCTAGCACTAGAGCGGCCTATTCTTATGAGTGCGTATTTCATTAACTATCAGAGATCATATCATATATTGTAGAGCTAGGCTGACAAGGAAATAGGTTACTTGAAATTCATCACAATTCTCCCCAAGCCTACGCCTTCGCCATACGAGTCCCTCGGACACGAGCCTATCGGGCGTGTTTATTTCGACAAGGAAGATGGAACTGCGTACCACCGATATGGAATCGACATCTCGCGGGGCGCAATCGTAGTGCTAAGGCCAGACGGCTGGGTTGGTACGATGATTGAGTTGGGAGACAGGGCTGCTTGGGAGCTTGAAAGTTATTTCGACAAAATTCTCTTCTATCGTTCGGATTAAGCCTGGGATAGAGGGTTGTATTCTTGAAGGCTTCGCTTTCGGTGGGGCTTGGATGTGTCGTCAGGTATCATTGTATATCATTAGAGCCTTATTCTCTTATGTCAGGCGATACTCTAGCTCTGTTCCCCCCTGGGGAGTACTCTAGACGTCTAAAGCGCCAAAGATGCGCCGCTGTATCTACGTAGGTAGTATAGAGCAGACCAATAGACGTAAACGTTATCATCATCATCATATATCATTAGAGTAGTTAAGAAGGACAATAAATCTAGATAACGGAAGAGAGCAACCTTGTTGCTTAAATAAAGTCATGTTTTCTTATGTGTAGTTACAATCAAGTCCTAGAGTTTCAAAAGTCGATGTTGTATCAGGGTGCTGACAAAGGTAAGAGGCTAGGGGTGCAACGGCAAATCATACGATACAATATAATTGTTAGCATGGCCACGTACCTACCTCTATATACGTCAGGACTCATGGTAGTTTGGGAAATTTCAAGTCATTTTTCACTTTAATAGAGTGATGATATAACTCCGATTTCTAATTGCTTATATCCCAATACACACCGAATTCAAGTCTCGCGGATTATATAGGACTATGATTAAGCCTTAGGTCGACTTTGAATCTGGCATAGTTAAGTAGAAGCATAATCTAATGAAGATACTTGAATCCTGCTTTTATTTGCTTCTAGTGACTAAGCAGATTTATGGCAAGCAGGTGTCGAGTTAATATGTATGTAGTTAAGGCTCCATAACCGTAGTAAGGCAGCGGGGTGATATATTATAAGTGGTAACCTCACTGCCGGCACAACAGTTAACCTTCTAGAATCAGGCCAGAAACTGAGGGGAAATCCTTCTTGTGAATAGCTACTTCGAATCATACCCCTAGGGGTTATCGTAGGGTTAGCTACCGTTTCCCTTGGCTGAACCGTTAACCGTTCGATATACTTGCATATGTGCCTAGGCGTATCCGTTTAAGAAGTAGGGTTCAACGTTGGTTGTTTGTGAATTCCCGATTTTGACTACCTCGACAAAAGATGAGACGATCTAGACCCTATTCACTACGTAAAACTCCTTCGGGTTTCAAACTGACCCAGGGTCTTGCGTAAGCGGCAGGGTATATTTCGAAGAAACGCATGTGAAGTTATGGAACTACTTTAGATCTATCTTAAACAGACCATCTTTAGTAGATAAAAAGGGCTACACAATGCTCACCTTACTTTTAGTTGCGTTAAGGAGGGGAAAGTAAAAATACTACGGATCGAGGAGGGATACATAGACTTCGGTATCACTGAGTTTTAGTCAAAGAGAGACCGAGTTTTGAGGGGATAAAAAGCTAACAGACGTGAGCATGGTAGCTGTTACGATGTTTAAAGAGATTAGAGACTTGACCTCGACCGTTGATGACAAAGTATGTTGGCTACCTACCTTCATGCTTTACACTAGTAGAACGGTCGAGAGAGTTTCGAACTTCCAACAACCCCTGTCAAGATTACGGACAGTTCTTGGATTTGGGCTAAAGAATATATTAGACGACAGTATTAAACTAAACACCACCAACCCCTGCACCGACTGGA